TGATTTCACTACATTGTTGTAAACCTGATCCACGTATCCTCGCCTTAATGTGCTTTCATGAGGGATTTTTCGGTTCATATATTTTTCCAAAAACGTACGTAATGTGGGGTTTTCCAATTTATTTAGTGGAATGTTACTTCCAAGGAACGCTTCTGTAAGTTCGTAGGATAATACGGAGTCTTCGACGCTGGAAGAAGCATGGCTATTCAAATGTCTTGTCACTTTAGTTTTAGTAGAAGAATTTATAATTCGTTGACACACATTGCAGAATAGGTCATTTACTTGAACACTTATGTCCTTAAAACGTTCGGGATCACTATCATACCACATTTGAAATAAATCTCGTTTACTTTTTCTCTCTTTTGGCNAGGTAAGCTTATTATCCAGTATCACTCCTAATATCACCCTTAATAAGTGGTAAAAATTTCAGCCCTATTTTCAATTGATTTTTCCCAAGTTCAAAGGCGTTGTAGAGTTTCGATCATTAGTTGTTTTTGTACCTAAATAGTTGTATTAACATATACATTTACTGAGAATTTAATTTTTTAAAAATGACTGAAAAAATGTTAATATTTATTGAATTGTTAAGATAGGTAATTATTATAAAATTAAATAGTAACGTCTATAGTTTGGTTAGTACTATTTTTCTTCAAATTTTAAACAAAAAAATCGTTGTTTTACTTTAATTATTAATATTAAGAGCCGAAATTTGGCGAGAGTATACATTATGAGCTATATTTTCATGTCTTCTTTTTTGCAATTAAATAGTTGAATTCACCTTAATGTTAATGTAGGACATGAAAATATACCTCTTAATGTATACTCTCGCCAAATTTCGGCTCTTAATGTTAATAATCAAAGTAAAACAACGATTTTTTTGTTTAAAATTTGAAGAAAAATAGTACTAATCAAACTATAGACGTTACTATTTCATTTTATAATAATTACCTATCTTAACAATTCAATAAATATTAACATTTTTTCAGTCATTTTTAAACAAATTAAATTTAAAAAATTAGTAAATGTATATGTTAATACAACTATTTAGGTATAAAAACAACTAATGATCGAAACTCTACAATGCCTTTGAGCTTGGGAAAAATCAATTGAAAATATCATCTTAGATAACAAATTCTTCCAATGCCAAACTAATTAAGCTTTCAGGCTGAAATTTTTACCACTTATTAAGGATGCAAAGACCTTCAAAAATCCTGAATTACAAGTGTCTGCGATGAAAATTGCATGAATTATTAGCAATTGAAAAAAACGGCCATTTTCAACCATTTTTGAGCTCTTGCGCATAAACAAATTAACAGAATTTAAGCGGACTTGTCTCATTTTATAGGTTTATTTAATACCTACCTTTTTTGTATAAACTTTTTTTCGCTGTGAATAATATTTTTTTACGCGAGTCAAAAAACCACTTTTCCATAACTTTGACCATNCTGTATGTATTTATGTATTATATCATAATATATGAACATACCAAAACTTAAAAAAAAAACAATTATTAAAATTCACAGGTTACATTGTTTTTCTCTTCTTAAATAACATAGACATAACCTATAAATTATAAAAACAATGGAATGGAGTATTCAACGACATACGTCAAGAACAAACATTAGAACTATTGTCACATGTCGTTGCTAAACGTTAAACCCATATGAAAAAAAAAGACTATTTTATTGTCGCTGTACCACAATAGTGATAAATTTAAATACATTAAAAAGAATAAAAACTTTTTCATAATAGATCACAAAACGGCTGCTAATGATTTACGTTGATAATTAAAATTAAGGTAAACCATTACTTTACTTAATACTTTAATTATCACTTGGTTAAAAATGAATAAGTTAAAGCAGTGATTTTTAAATGTGATAATATATAAATTCATTCTGCTATGAATTCGAAAATATTTAACTATCAAAAAAATGTCTTGATATTATTATTTTTTTAAAGTAACCATTGAAAACTGCAAATTTTAAAGAATTATTTACCTGCCTTTATGTAAAATGTATTGCAGTTACTTATCAAAAATTACGATTATATACATTTGTTTTAAACAAACTGGTTCTTAAATGTGGGAATTGAAGTACTCTCGTACAAAGTACACTTATAGTACTTATAGCAACTTGGTGTATTTCGGTTTTTTAAAAGGTGAAAAATCATCTGAAATTGAAGTTCTGCAGCTCGTACTTTGAAAATTCTGTAGTGTTACGTTAACAAACTGTTCTGCTGAGTACTGGATACTATCGGTGATCATATTATTACAATTAATGGGAGAACTTGTAGTCGATTTTAGAAATAATGACACATCACTTCTGTTGAGTATTCCTATTACTATTTTTAAAATATTCCTTCTCAAAATGGTCTTCACAAAAATAATGGTCTATGTTTGGCGTATCACAGGACAAAAACTCAAAAGAGATCTTATCTTTCGAATCGAACAAGGATTTAAAAAATAATTTTATTTGGGAAAAAACCATTGGTGTACCATTTTTTCCTTTAAAAATATCAAAGTCAGTGCTTGTACTAAATATCACTAATATATCAGGCGGTTTCGAAAATATTAATTTCTTTCTTTTTCCTAAAATTTTAACACCCTGTATTTTCACAATAGAACGTTTTTGGACATCAATTTTCCATGTAGAATCACACTCTTAAATATTCACATATCACAGGAACACTTTGTATAATTATACAGTACAATTTTTAGTTTTAACTTACAGTAAACATTATTTCTTCACGTGTTCTGTTGAAGACGTTGCGGTACGTCGTCATAAATATTCCGACTCGCAGCAGCTGATCAGAATTAACGACTGAATGCTAAGGGCGAAAAACAAATAAAACCGAAAAATAATAAAAATAAGTGAATAATGTATTAACCTTTAACATAAAAATAATACAAAATGCCATTAACTTAATTTATATTATTTATATATGATAATAAATACATCACATACAAACATTCATCACTAAAAACAATGCAGCAACAATTTGGGATTTTATCAAATATATAAGCCTGGTATATTATTCTTAATAACAAGAAAAAAGCCTACAAGTAATGATATAACGTTCGTCTTAATGCCCTCGTCTCAAAAAGCCCCTACTTGCTGTGCCGTTGACGTTCTCAATCCGACAATTACAAAAATATATCGTTAGTTAAAATATTACTTCGTTAACACCTATACTTTATAAATTAAACCAACGAAACTCCAACGTTACGCACGTACAAGTGGAACGAAACTTTTAATTCAGAAAAAAATCGGTGATAAGACCAGAATCAGCCAGCACCCATAAAGTTTTTAAATACTTCATATGTGACATATAAAACTTAATATCGGAAATTGCTCGATTTGTTATGGTAAAAAAATGTTTTGAAACAAATATTTCTACCATTTCATCAACATGGACCTAACTACATTTTAACTAATATCTGTTATCTGCTTTCTCATTTCTGAAATAGACATTGTAAATTATTAAATAAGACGTATATTTACTCTGACATTACGAAAAGATCATCACATTTCTGTTTCCCACATACCACAAGACGGTTTTTACAGAAGGCGCGTGAAACTGTGATGCGTGTTAAAACGAGGGCGTTAAGACGAAGATTTGACGAATTTATCACCTTTTCGTTTAGTTACACTCCTAAATTACTGGTTCGGCATAAACAATTAATATCATGTACAACGAAAAACAACTGTCCTGCTCTCTTCGAATTGCCTCCGATCTTCCGATAGAATCTTATATATTACCATTATAATTATTATTGAAAAAATCTATATAACCTGGTACACTATATTACTCTCATTTAAAATCTATCCCGACAACTAAAACCCAAAGGTTCTGCATCTGTTGTTTCGACGGTCTGGAATTGTGTGAGTGCCCTACACTGAAACAAACATCGAATTGCTTATAATAAATAGTAATTTCCTAAATTTAAAACTTAATAAGTGGTTTCCTGCCATCTTCAGGGTGTAAATAAAAAAAAATCTAGAATAATGTTATAATAAAATTTGAAGAATCGTTGGAGATTCCGTTTGATAAATCTTGGATTCGTTTACACGACTAGCAGGCGCAATTGTCTTTGTTGGCTTGCTGGTCGCCGGAGAGGTTGTTGCGGCCCGGCTGGGAGGGCTTGTGCTGTACCCCCGATTCGGCGGCGTTCAGGTCCAGACGGCCGTCCTGGATGCTCTGGTAGATCTTCTTGGCCGTCTCGAGGAACGCCTCCTCCACATTGTCACCCCTGAGAAAACGTATGAGGAATCTATTATTCCACTAGTTCAAGTATTTTTACCCAAGGTATTCGTTACATTTATAAATAGTATCTTGTAACAGATCGGACATTTGTATGTGCGTGTTTATCGCTGCTAGTTTTTTAAACTCANAAAATAATGACACAGCACTTCTGTCGAGTATTCCTATTACTATTTTTAAAACATTCCTTCCCAAAATGGTCTTCACAAAAATAATGGTCTATGTTTGGCGTATCACAGGACAAAAACTCAAAAGAGGTCTTATCTTTCGAATCGAACAAGGATTTAAAAAATAATTTTATTTGGGAAAAAACCATTGGTGTACCATTTTTTCCTTTAAAAATATCAAAGTCAGTGCTTGTACTAAATATCACTAATATATCAGGCGGTTTCGAAAATATTAATTTCTTTCTTTTTCCTAAAATTTTAACACCCTGTATTTTCACAATAGAACGTTTTTGGACATCAATTTTCCATGTAGAATCACACTCTTAAATATTCACATATCACAGGAACACTTTGTATAATTATACAGTACAATTTTTAGTTTTAACTTACAGTAAACATTATTTCTTCACGTGTTCTGTTGAAGACGTTGCGGTACGTCGTCATAAATATTCCGACTCGCAGCAGCTGATCAGAATTAACGACTGAATGCTAAGGGCGAAAAACAAATAAAACCGAAAAATAATAAAAATAAGTGAATAATGTATTAACCTTTAACATAAAAATAATACAAAATGCCATTAACTTAATTTATATTATTTATATATGATAATAAATACATCACATACAAACATTCATCACTAAAAACAATGCAGCAACAATTTGGGATTTTATCAAATATATAAGCCTGGTATATTATTCTTAATAACAAGAAAAAAGCCTACAAGTAATGATATAACGTTCGTCTTAATGCCCTCGTCTCAAAAAGCCCCTACTTGCTGTGCCGTTGACGTTCTCAATCCGACAATTACAAAAATATATCGTTAGTTAAAATATTACTTCGTTAACACCTATACTTTATAAATTAAACCAACGAAACTCCAACGTTACGCACGTACAAGTGGAACGAAACTTTTAATTCAGAAAAAAATCGGTGATAAGACCAGAATCAGCCAGCACCCATAAAGTTTTTAAATACTTCATATGTGACATATAAAACTTAATATCGGAAATTGCTCGATTTGTTATGGTAAAAAAATGTTTTGAAACAAATATTTCTACCATTTCATCAACATGGACCTAACTACATTTTAACTAATATCTGTTATCTGCTTTCTCATTTCTGAAATAGACATTGTAAATTATTAAATAAGACGTATATTTACTCTGACATTACGAAAAGATCATCACATTTCTGTTTCCCACATACCACAAGACGGTTTTTACAGAAGGCGCGTGAAACTGTGATGCGTGTTAAAACGAGGGCGTTAAGACGAAGATTTGACGAATTTATCACCTTTTCGTTTAGTTACACTCCTAAATTACTGGTTCGGCATAAACAATTAATATCATGTACAACGAAAAACAACTGTCCTGCTCTCTTCGAATTGCCTCCGATCTTCCGATAGAATCTTATATATTACCATTATAATTATTATTGAAAAAATCTATATAACCTGGTACACTATATTACTCTCATTTAAAATCTATCCCGACAACTAAAACCCAAAGGTTCTGCATCTGTTGTTTCGACGGTCTGGAATTGTGTGAGTGCCCTACACTGAAACAAACATCGAATTGCTTATAATAAATAGTAATTTCCTAAATTTAAAACTTAATAAGTGGTTTCCTGCCATCTTCAGGGTGTAAATAAAAAAAAATCTAGAATAATGTTATAATAAAATTTGAAGAATCGTTGGAGATTCCGTTTGATAAATCTTGGATTCGTTTACACGACTAGCAGGCGCAATTGTCTTTGTTGGCTTGCTGGTCGCCGGAGAGGTTGTTGCGGCCCGGCTGGGAGGGCTTGTGCTGTACCCCCGATTCGGCGGCGTTCAGGTCCAGACGGCCGTCCTGGATGCTCTGGTAGATCTTCTTGGCCGTCTCGAGGAACGCCTCCTCCACATTGTCACCCCTGAGAAAACGTATGAGGAATCTATTATTCCACTAGTTCAAGTATTTTTACCCAAGGTATTCGTTACATTTATAAATAGTATCTTGTAACAGATCGGACATTTGTATGTGCGTGTTTATCGCTGCTAGTTTTTTAAACTCAACTGTATGAAACTAATAAAGCCAAACTGGAATAGAAAATAATTTTGTAAAAACAGATGGGTTTTGTATGACTCGTTATTTTAAAATCACCGAAAAATCCAACATTAAAAAAATTTCACGTGTTTTTATATTTTTTGCATGATTTATTAAATTATTCACTTATATTGGCATGTGGATAGGCACAGATGATTAATTGCAAATAAAATTAGTTTGTCTTGAAATAATAATTTATATTTTTGTTGTCCTAAAATGCAAATAATAAAAAATAATAATTTTCAATCCTACTTAAGTAATTCCTGTTTGTCTTTCTATTATTAAATAAATGGAGAAGTACAGTGGTATGTGATCTTAGTTGAAGTGATCCTTAGTAATATGCAGTGCAATTAAGGCATAATTTAGCATATTCCATACCAAATAACTGAGGCCATGACCCGACCATTTTTAATTGTCACAATTTTTTGGTATTTAGTACATTAGAGAAGTTTTCATGATTTTTTTGAAATTTTTATTTCAACCCCTCAACAATGTATGAGCATTTGAATATTTTTGTTAAAAAATATTCAAATAAAAATAATTTTATTACACAATTTTCAAACACTAAATATATCGTAAACTTTTTTTTATTTTGTTCGTTTTGACTGTTTTGAGATGTAGTTTTATATAAAAAACATAAAAATAAAACATTTTTAGTTTTTTGATTTTTATTGTTATTTTTTTTCTTTGAAAAATTCTCAAAAAAATCATCTTTCATCTTTCAATATGCAAAGTTATAAGACAGGTTCTAGAGTAGGATCTTTTTTTATTCTATTATTTAGAATAAATTTTTTTTGTATTTTAATTTTTTACAAATAGAAGTAAATCACGAAGACTAATTACTAAAAATACTATATTTTTAAAACTACTTCTGCTAATATTGTTATTATTAAATATCTAAATTATTATTAGTTTAGTTTATTGGTGCTAGGTATGCATAAGTATATTAACTAAATATTCAGTTTCTTTCTTAAAAAATTTGTTTTGCATAATGCATATTTGCTATATTTTTGACCACGGATTATAAAAAAAATAGAATAAAAAAAGATCCCATTCTAAAACCTGTCTCATAACCTTGCATATTAAATAACGACTTTTTTGAGAATATTTTGAAGAAAAAAAAAAAACACTTTTCCGATTCAAAAATTTAAAAAATCAAAAAATATTTTATATTTTTTTTTATAAAACCATCTCAAAACAAACAAAACGAAAAAAATATTATCTTTAGTATTCGCCAAGTTACAGGTACTTGAAATTTTTTTAACAAAATATTCAAGTGCTCATAACATGTTGAGGGGTTGAAATAAAAATTTGAAAAAATTCATAAAAGCTGCTCTAATGGGTACTAAAAAATAATACCAAAAAATCAAAAAAAATTAAAAATGTATGTGGACAGCCCCATATACATATTTTTTTTTAATTTCCAGTTAAATAATGATTTTATACAAAAATAAAACAATAAAGGACAATATTTTTGTTATATTATTTAAATTTTCAAGTGGCAAACACCCCATTTTGTTTTATCGAAGAGTTAGTAATATAAATTACCCCCAAAAACTCCCCTGTACAAAATTTGAATAAAACATCTTTAAAAGGGCTCAAGATTGTACAAAATCACATTACAAAATATGCACAAAGTTTAGGAATATTATCCAAACACCAGTAGTTTCAGATTATTTGCTACAGTTCAAACAATCCTGACTGAGATAAATGGTGTATACATTTCAACTGAAAATAAACCTACCAAATAAACAACTAGTCTCTGTCATAACTACAATATTATCAATAAATCTTCAAAGTTCAAAGATTGGATTACATGAAATTAATTTCCCACAAACGTTTTGTTAACACAGTAATGTATCACAGTATCATCAATTCTGTTTCAGATTTTTTTTACAGATAAAATCACCCAAAGGAAAACTATGTAAAACAGTTTGTTAACAAATGTCTTCTACCATTGCCATCACATTTTATACCAAGAATTTAACAATACGCAAAATACAGTTTAGCGGAAAAATCGTTTGTGTCAAATCAAAATAAACTGGATACAAAATATACATCTTAATTATAAACAGCTCTATAAAACGCTTAAGAACTAATTCAATTTTTTTTTATCATTATTAAACATTTCAATGCCAAATGTAAAAGCAAATTTCTCTTTAATTTCCTCATTTGACCTAAGTAAAGGAATACTATTAACAAAACCACAAAACAATGTATGAGATAATATATGCAGTAACATTAACGTTATACAACATACAGAAATGAAAATAAATGAATTCGATACGAATCAAACTGTAGTTTAAATCAAAATTAAAAAAAAAAACAAGTTGAACCCATTATTAATATATTAATAAACGGAATTACTTACGTTTTTGCGCTAGCCTCCACAAACATTAGGCCGTTCTCTTCGGCGAACTTACTCGCTTCTTCGTACGTCACGTCCCTCTGACCCTCTAAATCACACTTGTTCCCGATAAGGAAAATAACGGTGCTCGGATTGGTCAAGTTCCTGGTGTCCGTCAACCAACTACTGAGATGGTTGTACGTAGACCGCCTGGTAATGTCATAAACCATTAAAGCTCCCGCAGCACCGCGATAGTAGGAACGAGTCACGGCCCTAAACCTTTCCTGACCTGCGGTGTCCCATATTTGCAGTTTGATTTTCTGCCCGGATACTTCTATGATCCTCGTACCAAATTCAACTCCTATTGTGTGAGGGCAATCGGCCATGACTAAAATATTAACGGGTATGAAATTTGTGATTGCTTGCTTCAATGGCAGCAAAGTTTTGTTACATGTTAGGAAATTTTACTTACACTTTTTCTCTGTGAACTGGTGAAGCAGACATGATTTTCCAACACCCATATCACCGATAATGATATATTTAAATATGTAGGAATAATTATACGGCCCAGCTGACATTTTTACTGTAAACAAACAGTTCACTATTAGACAAAGAACGTTACAGTGTCGTTGTATGTAATAATTGTGTCACCACAAGGAAAAACTTAATAAAGGATAAGGTGTATTTTCCGAACCCTGACATGAGTAATATCAATAATAAAGACGCAAAATAAGCTAATTCGGTAATTAGGCAAATAGAGCACTCGGATTCGCGATATCTCTGATTAATGTACAAGAATATATTCGTATTCAAACGCACTTATAAAGAAATTAACTTACAATAACACAAAATTAATAATATCCTAACAAACTGAACCGTTTAATGAAAAACTTCTGTTGTCCAATTCTGACACGCTGTCAAAATTACAAATAGCTGGTGGCCATTGTTGTGGGACGATTCATGAAAATAGACAGTGTATTGATCGATTTCAGTACACATGCAAACACAAAAGTTTGTTAATTAGAAATAATTAAGTAATTGCAAATGGTTCGTATTTTGTTATTTTGTGCATCTCCCGTCATGCTGTTTTTTTACTGAATTTTTTAAAATTTACTAGCAATTATCGTAATGTCAAATTTAAAATAGCCCCTCCCATAATTGCCGGTGGGAGATTTAAATTAATTACGGAAAGGAACTAACAAAATATTATTACAAGACTTGTAAAGTCAACTGCAAAAATTCATCGTTCGTTTCTTAAATATTCCTAAACATATTTTCTAGTGGAGTTAGTCAAATTAAATCGCAATTTATTTTACGTGTATGACATTAAACGATAAATTGGCGAAAATTAACTTGTAGTGATATGGTCATAGCAATGATTCTCTCTAATTGTAAAACAATAACAAGGACAAATATAATATTCTAAGCACCCAGAGTGAATTTTCGTAAATCTCTAATAGCTTACAAAATCAGTGATTTGTACCAATAGCCAGTGTACGACACCGATTCATGAGATATACAGGGTGTTCCTTAATCTAAATGTAAAAATTTCATTTGGAGCTGAATTTAACATTTTCGTTCAATGAAGTTGTAAAATATTTAAATGGTATTTTAATTAAAGATGTGACGGTTTGATTTTACTAAAAATAGAACATCATGACTTTAATTTCATTATATAAGAAGTACAGCTACGGACTATAAAAATTTCCAATCTAAACTGCTTATAATCTTTTATAAAGCAGAAATGTATTAGTCGCATCCTTCAAACCCCCTAAATGTCCTGCATTGGAAACTTTTCTTTATTTACACTGTACATATGTACAAAGAACAAACCTTTTGCATGCAAAGCAATAAAACAGGACAAAGAATTTACATATTTATTTTTCCATTTTTTCTAGACAAAGCTCAGTACAGTATAAAAATTGAAAATAGGCCTATAGGATTGTCCCTCCCAACCCCCCTCCCCTCCCTCCCCGACACATAATTATCAAAAAATATTGGACGTGTGTTTAGAAGCTGGGTGGTGCAAATTTTCTACGCGGCATTCTTCCAGACATACCGAACAAATGGAATGACTATACCCAAATCCTCACAGAAATACCTGAAAATGAATCCGCAAGGGCGCGATCCACTAATGAACCGACGAGCCCTTCGGGACCGACTTTGATTAGAAAACGTGAATTGGCATCTCCCGGACCGTACTACAAAAACGCATATTTGGTATAAAGGGGTGGTGCTCTCGACATGCCAAATAACAAATGAAAGACAAGGCCGTAACGCCCTCCGAGCCGAAATAATTTCATCATAAACCGTGACAAGTTGCGTTTTCATATTATCTTAATAATAAAATATATTTTGTATAATTTAATACATACTAAACATAAACGGTTACTGAATCTCACATACAATCGTTAAAATTTGATAATAATGGAATAGTAGAAATAAGCCTACGATTTTTGTAAAATATAAAAATACATCTGGATAAATCAAAGCACTGTAAATAATATACACATAATCTATATAAAAAAAGGTAGATCTTTAAAACGTCCACTAGGAATACTTTGGTAGATCTTACATTAAAAATAAAAAAACCATTCTTAATCACGATAAGATGGCCACACTCCGTCTAGCTGCCGTACCGCCGTTCGTTATGTTATCTAGACTCGACCATTTCTTCAGACCGTTCTTGATCGCCTCCTGGGTGTACTTGTCGGCCATCACCCTCGACATCGCCTCCAACTTCTGGGCACGCTCAATGCTGAGCGGCTCGCTTGGAAACGTCAGATCGTTAGCTTCGGCCAACGTACGTAAATCGAAGTAGTATTTTGCGTAGACACTTGAGGGCACGTTAATATTAAATTGCAAGAGCTCCAAGAATTGTCGCTCCAGTTCGTTCATGTCTTCCACCGTTATGTCTTTCAGTATTTGGCAGTAGTCCACATTCCAAACCGCTTGGTCATCCCACACCTTGGAAGCTAACAAGATTGCACCTAAAAGCAATAATATGTATTTGTTTTTTCACGCTCAACTTCTTATAGCTACTGATAATAATTTGTTACAAGAATAACAATCGTTTATATACATATATGGTAAAACCTCTATTAATGGTCATCATTTTGAGGTTTTTTTTATTAAGTCAAACTTGAAATAATTAAGATTTTATTTTATAACAGAAACAAAATTACTTGCAACAGACTTTTCTCTCATAAGAACTGTTCAAAATGATCACCGTTTTCTGCAATATTAATCCTACGCAAAAATGAAAACGCACTCTTCTCACTTTTCCTTCTTTCTGCAAATAATAAACGTCTTCAATTCTGTTTTACAGTTGCCCATCACTATCAATTCTCCGAGTACACTTTCTGTTTTAAGGACACCCAAATAAAAAACATCACAGGAATTTAAGTCAGGTGAAAGTGATGGTCAGTGAATTTAGATCAAATATTTAACAATAAATTGAAGAAGGCATAATAAATGACAAATTAAAGAATATTTCAAATGAGAAGAAAAACTTTGGTAGATTATAAGAGTGTCTACATTATTGCGAACAGCAGACCCAAATTTATTTTGCCTTAACTATAAATACATATTCAAAATTTTATTTACAACATGTACGCAAATATTTGCAGAGAACACAATAATGTAGCAAATAGGCTGGCAAATATGCAAAAGTAGTCCCGTTTTTTTTTCACTTATAAAAAAAGTGGGCCAATTAATATTAATATAAAAATAAATGCTACAGAAATGATACAATAGACAATAAGTTTTTTTATATATTTGTAAAAATATACCGGGTGATTCAGTTTGATATTCGCGGCCTCGTATCTCTCTTATTTTAACAAATAGCTATAACAAACCTTATATATTTTTAAATCGCCGCTCAAACTCTATCAAATGACATTATCAGAGTGTCTCCATGGTAACATGTGTTAAAATTACTGTAGTCAATTGCTTTTCTTCAAATGGCACACTATATATTTTTTTTATCAATTCTGGAAGATATTTTTTTTCTGTGTTCAGCTATATAAGGCTATCATTTTTCAGAATAAAGCTAATGAAAGTAGGGTTCATCTTTTTTGCTGTTTTTCTAGCAATATTTCTAATGAAACTATATAGACTTCCTTACATAGCTGAACGCAGAAAAAAAATATCTTCCAGAATTGATAAAAAAAAATATAGTGTGCCATTTGAATAAAAACAGTTGACTATAGCAATTTTGACATATGTTACCACGGAGACGATCTAATAATGTCATTTGATGATAATGAGTTTGAGTGGCGATTTAAAAATATATAGGGTTTGTTATAGGCATTTGTTAAAATAAAAGAGATACAGGGCCGCAAATACCAAACTGAATCATCTGGTATATTATTTGACAATTACTATCCAAAAAACTTTGTTAGAACTTTTCAAAACATTGAAAATAAAAACGATTTTCAAAGGCAACAATAAAATGGTTGTATAGGTACATTAAAAATATGGTATATTTTATCTAAAAATTAAAAACAATTGGTAGTAGTTAGGACAGTTTTCAAATAGTAATATGTTAAAACACTTTTTCAAAAATTCTACTACAAAATAAGATATAAAATTGTAAAGACTGCTTTTAAAATACATTATGTGGGCGAAATTTCGACTTCGAATATTGGTCAGGACTAGGTATATTGGAAAGGAAGAATTTGAGAAATAACAAATTTGCAAATGAGTGGAAAAATGGAATAACACAAAAATTTTGGTAGAAAATAATAACCTGCATTTATTTTGCTAAACGGTAATTAATAATAATGTTTCAAATAATTCTTTAAATTTTGATAGTTGTTGATTAAATATTCTCAAGGACGAGGTAAGTAATAACAGAATAAATATTGTCTCTTACATCTCTATAGTAGATAAACAAAACAAATAAACATTACATTAACTTTGGTAACGAAAGGTTTGATAACCAAAACGGTTTTATGTAACTCAATTTATAAAATCAACTTCTTGACTGATTCTTTTGACATAAGTACAACAATTTTATCATTATTTATAAGTATTTATTTTATTATATGTTAAAAGTATCTACTACAGTCTATGATCATTAAAAAAAAAAATTAAATACACACCTAAAACTATTCGTTTCCAGTTTGATGGTTGAATATCTAACTCGGAGTACGTTAGCAGTCGTTCTAAATACACTAAAGTAATAATGGCACATTCAGCAGTCAACTGTGCAGCATTAAACAAAGTCCTCACAAACTTATAAATTTGCTTATGTTCGGGGTTATACTTATCGTAATCGTCACTAACACCGTCTCTCGTGAGCGGGTGTAACTTCTCATCGAATATATCGATCTCTCTTTGTGAATCACGATTTTTAATGTGGTAATAAATTGCAAGTGCTACACACTTCACTGTGTTTTTCAAGTTTGGTTGGGAAACGGTACTATCATCTAAGTATATGGTTGAGCAGGAACTACTTTTCTTCAACGGCCTCAGATCTGCTATTTGGTGCTGACTTTTTCGACGGATCATACCATTTTCAATAGCCGTCTTTGATCGTTCGATAAATATAGTTTTCGCCATGGGGTCCTGAGATGGATCCGCCTCGCCATCGTCACCCTCACGTTCGCTGATATGTTGTAGGTTAGTCTGACTGATTTCACCCTCGTGGAGAGTTTCCTCGATAGGTATTACGACTCTTTCCCTGTGACTAGTCTGAGGACTCGAATATGAGCAACAACTGTTCTTGTTTCCCATTTTGAGAGTATAGGGTCTTCAAATGTTGATATCTAAATTATATGAGTAATAATAATATGATGAAGTTAATCTACACATCTTTTGTCTGGCTGCCTGGGAAAGTTAGATATTGGGGTACTAAATTATATGAAAATAATAAACTTCATCTTATCGAGCCTTATGTCCACAATGATAACGATAATTTGGCAGATTATGAAAGGAATGAAAACACCGCACACCCACTAAAATTCGGTCAGTCTACGCCTTCAAATCAACCGGCTATTTTTTTCCTAATATCTCGTACAATTAAATTCACCTCATATCACTACTTTTGTCAATTTTAAACAGAAATCATTGCAATAAACCATGGCACATTTAATAAAACCAATAATTTCTTTGAGTAAAATAACAGTAACATGATTAGTGTTCTTAATTATCTGATAAACTGTCAAATACGATTGATGTTTTTAGAATGACTAATAGCAAGGGTTGCCGTAGTGGTTGATTATTGTTGCAACGAAAAGGCCCATAGTTAATTTCTTTTCATTCTAATTCTTGGTATACCTATCCGGTATACTTCTGTAATACCGCATAAAATTCTAATATGCACTTTAATTATTATATAAGGAAACAATCTGTTAAATTCGAAAAGTTATGTCAAAATATGTTCAAGTTTATAAACTTTACTTATTTCAAGCTGCGGAATCATGTTTTCAGAATCATATTTGAACTAGTTGAAGCAGATTGAGAATTTTATATTCATCTACGCAGTAATTGGAAAAATATGGTAACCGAGTCATCTTTTGTAAAATAGCCAATTTTAAATTATTACAGCGTGCTTTAAAACCAGGTGTATAAGAATTAGAAAATCGAAACTGCCTATCTTGTTTTGACAGGTTGCAACGTTGGGCCTATTGGTAGTTTTCGGCCCAAAGCTAACAAAACATTTCCCTGTTTATATAAGGCCCAGTTATGAAATGGCGGATGGCATTATACTGTCAAATAAATTGTGAGTTGAAATTTAACTAAAATAATTCATAAATACGACTAAATGTCACGTTATTTTATAAAACGTATATTGATTTTATTTAGGTGTATAATATTTAAAAGAGAATTTAATATGGGGTGAATAGTTATAGTACTGCTTAAAGCTTTATTGTGTGCGCAAATTTTAAACAAAAAAAAAAAACGCCAAAAAGGGTTAATGTGCTGTAGAAATCTACGTAATGGAAATAGACGTTACTCCAGATGGTAATTTGGAAAAAACTGGATCTGACTCAAGTCATGCAGAAGAAGAAAATTTGGAAAATGCCAGTGCTAATCCAACCAATGTAAGCAATATAAACATAAATAATTCAACTAAGGAGCATGAAAAAAATATCAATACCAACAACAACAACAAAAAGACCATCAAACATGCACTTCGACAACAAGCTAAGAGAAGAAGAAAAAACACAACAATCGCTTCCGGCAATTCCACCACGACCCCAAGAATAATCGTTAAGCCTCTACCTCCACAAGCAGTTGAAGAAGTAACTGTGACCACAGTGCCTACAAGTAGAACACCAACAATGCGTGAAGTTCTCGCTTCTATCCCAGGTTTCACCATGAGGCCCAGGAAACGTACAAACAAGAAACTGTCAACGGCCGCACAACTCGAACAGACAAAAGAGGGCTGTATTGACTTGGAAACCCCCGACTCCATATTAGTTAACACAAACCTGAGACATTTGTTGAATAAAGCCACTTTTGCTTCTTTGCCCCTTCTGTACCAAAATAAGCTAGTGCAGTTGTTGCCTAGTGTCGACAGACATGTTGTTAGTAATTCTGCGGACCCCAATACCTTGGAAATAAATAATTCAGGTTTGAATAATGAATTTTTTGCGAGGGCATGTCTTGAATGGCAAGACCGCTTGGCGGAGGGAGAGTTTACCCCAGAAAATCAACAGAAATTAAAATTGGAAGCAGACAAGGAAAGGAGCAAGTTGGACCCTTGGAAACTAAAACATTTCGAGCCGATTTGGGGGGATAGATCCTTGGATAATGCCGAGTCCGTTTCGTCTACATCTTCTGTAAATAGTACGGTAAATTGTAATACCCGCCCTCCTATTAAGACTACAATTAAATTAAGACCATCAACAACTTCCTTAACCAAGCAAAGCAAAGCTTCGGTAGCACCGCCCGTTAAAAGATTACGAACTGTTGGCGCCATGACGAGATCGTGCACCAGCATGAAGGTGAACGAATTGAATATACCCGCAGAAAACAAAATACCCATCCCGGATCTTTTACCCATCAAATCCACTAAACAAGTACAAAAGGATGAAGTCCAACCCAAGGCTGAAAATACTGTAACAACAGACAAAGAGTTGTCTGCTCCTAGTGATAATAATACCGTAGAACTTCAAGATAAATGTATAGTTAATATCAGTGATACTATTCTAAAGACTAATGAAGAGACAATCATTATTTGTACGACTAAGTCTGACAAACGAAGGCGTTCTTCGAGCCTAGATTCTGACCGAAGGTCTCCCAAACGTAAAACTCCAAGCCCGTTAGTGAAGAGTCCCCTGCCTACGCCCATGGACACTTCCGAACCCGATAACGAGAATCCCATCAAAGAATTAGTCGCAGAAGATAACGTAGAAGTCACTAGCGAGGCACCCAGCGATGATGATAAAATCAGTGAGCAGCTGTCTGAAAACGCTTTGGAAAATGTCGATGACGATACTATGTGTGACTACGAAAAAGATAAGATTTTAGATGAGAACAGTAGCAGTTCTAGCAGCATTGCCACTCACAATATAGAAGAGAACTCGAGTAACGAGACCATAGAAACGGTAGATTCCTTGCAGCTGCACGTTGATTACAAAGAAGACACGAATCAAACCGATGAAACTTCTTCAACTACCACCACCACCGATGCGAAATCGGAAAGGGAAGAACAGGAAGAAAGCATGACTTCCACACCGGACATCACAGACGTCGTTATGGAACCCGATCCCTTGCAACTACACGAAAACGAGAGCAATGAGTCCCAATTAGACGAGAAGATAATATACACAGTAGAAAACGCAGATTTACACGATCAGGAGAGCCAACAGAGTCAAGGCGAAGCTCATATGAACATGGAGGGCACCAGCGAGAACCTTCCCCAGAATGAACATCCTCCCGAACAGCCGACTATAGAAGATACGTTTCAAATCCTACCAAATACCCTCATTTTACAGCAGGAGTCTATAGTTATTGATACGAAAACGGCTTGTTCGGATAGTTGTGAGGAGAACGTGAGCTGTATAATAGCAGACTCGGCCGAAAAACTAGTGGCCAGTGTAGAACAGTGCGATTTAGTGATGGCCCAGCTGTCCGAAACCAATTTCGAAAATGTCAGAAGCATTCCAGACGAAGACGATAGATTTATAGATGCGGAAAACTATGTGCTTGAATCGGGACAGATCACTATATCCACATCGGAAAAGATCGAGAAAGAAAGAAGCGAAGCGGATATCCAAGCCACGTTGTTCGGGGCAAACGTATCAAGAGGTATGTTTTATTCGCTTTGCTAATATTTCTCACGTATATTATAAAATAATTTGGTTTCCTTCGACTTTCGGACAGATGCAGTCGAAATAATTAAATTTATCTCACATATTTATAAATATATGTATTTTTATCATCGAGGAATTAAAAAAAAATGTAAGTAATCAGTAAAGTATGTTAAATTTAACATTTCGGACATACAAGGTATCCCAGAAATAACTTACTTAGATATTTCTTTAGTCCATTAGTTGTTGCTTTTGAGTTAAATATGTGGTTAAAATTTTAGTGCTTATTTCTGGGGCACCTTGTATAAAGATATATATCTTAAAATAAAGATATATCTATCTAATAATAGTCTATTCTTTAAATAGTTAATTATTTTGATTGCAACTTAATAATGCTTGTAGTTGCGTTATTTTCCAATTAAATAAATAAAATCATTTAAAGGAATTAACACTTCAATTTTGCATAGTACATATTTGTTGTCATGTTGTTTTATTTTTATTTATTTGTAAATTAAAATATTTTTTGCAAATACATTCAATCCTTTATTATTAGTTAAGTATACATAATTAATAAAATTGTGTATTTATGAATTAAAAACACATTCTATACAATGTGGTTTGAATTTTTTTTTTCCAAATTTAAGGATAAAAATAATGTTAATTTATTTAATTTTACTTTTTCTATATTTTTCGAAATTAGTTATTCGTGGCATAATTTTTGTTTTTTGTTTATTGCGTATTTTCCACCTGAAGAAAAATTTAAAAATAATTAAACCCAGACAAAGGTTATTTTCAAGATAATAGTTTTGCTTAAAGAAAAATTTCACGGCAATCAAATAAAATATACAAAAAACGTCACTATATATTCCCATTGCATTGTAAATGGTGTTTCACTTTAAAGTGTCAAAAAAAAATTAAAATCGAAAAATCATTATAAGTTCAACTTTTCAAAGATACAACTGTTTTCATAATAACCCTTAACTGACCCTTTTGACGCAAGGGCTTATTTCATTAATTTTTAAATATTTGGCTTAGGTAGAAAAATACTCAACAAATAAAGAAAAAATTACTTTTTCGCTTGAATATTTTCTAAATTTTACAGAATATTTTTGGTTGTGAATCTTTTACTCATATTTTAAATTTTATTGATAGAAAAAAGATAGCTGAAGCCCTTATAAAAAAAATAACGAATCATCAACGTAATAGAAAAATGAAATTTTTTCTAAATATCTGTTATTTTTACAATAAAAAAGTGTTCCTTACTTTTTTCATAAGTTTGACCATTTATGAGTAAAATATATTGATTAAAAAGTTTGTTAATAAATAATTTGCATTTAATAGAAATTTTGGGAGCATGTGTCAAAACATTTTTTGCAGCTCTGGTAATGTTAATGGTAATTTATTATTATGTAGATTATGAGGTTACTTAATTTTTTCCAAATTAGAACAGTACATTATTGCAATTTTTAATTCCCATTGAATCACACAGTTTCTATGTTATTGAGTTATAAATACATTTTATCTGGAATTTAATGGTGTACAAATGCGTTCTATAATGCTGATAAATCTGAAAATATATTTTCTAAAAACTATGCCTTTACTGCAAAATTTCAATGATGGGAAATATTAAAAAATTTAAGTCAAACTTCATCAAACATTTTTCCAATAAAGGATATATGATAATTTTGGTGATATAAACGTTCCTATAGGAAATTTGATGGAAAAAAATCAAACTACTCTGTATTTTAAATGATGTAGTTGTTTATTTCATGAGGTGCGCAAAATATACACAAGACCTCCCTTGCCTCGCTACCACAACATTTCCAGTGGTGTCACGTTACCTCAAACATTTACAAAACAAATAGTAATTTATTGCAACTTGCATTACTTGCACCATACGTGTTATGCTTTTAAATGACCAGAGCTTTCCTTAGCTGCCAGCGAAAGATGCTGCTGGGACATGGTAGACTCCAGTACGGAGAAGCTACTCCAAGTACCACCGCTGCATTCCCTGGAGCCTTCTGTCGCAACCGCAACCGTTAGTAAGCTGGACTCCATAGACCACGTACAGGTCATACCGATGCAGGAGGAGTTGGAAGTGCGGCTGGAAGAAGGAACTTTTCCTGTGATATTAAACGATTGGACGTATGACGTCAAAATGGACTCGGACATGGTAGCAGCGGCCCTCGGCAGTGCCGAGACGGACGCTAAGGAAGCCCCAAAACAGAACGCTTCGTACACGGAATTCAGCGGGAACCAAGTGAAACTTGAACTGGAAGTGACTCTAACCCCGGAAATCATCAGTTCGGACAGTATGATAACTAGTACCGTTAGCACTAGCAGCAGCAACGGGTGCAACTCGGCGGTAACTCCATCCGTGAGTAAAACGCTTACTACGGTGATACCTCCCACTACCATAGTCTGCTTACCTTCAGTGGTGAGCACGGCGCCCGTGCTGAACTTAAAAAACGAGGTGTCGCAGTGCCCCACCCTGCCCCGGCCCAACATGGTGCAGAGCTCCAGCTCGTTGCCCTACCTAGCTTTAACGACCAGTCAGCCCATCAGAGCGGTTCCTACGCACAGCAAGTCCAAACCAAAGAGTTCCCAGGGCAGTTCTGGGAACCGTAACCGCAGCAACAACAAGCCGCCGCCCGGCGCCGTCAACTTGGAGCGTAGCTACCAAATCTGCCAGGCTGTCATTCAGAACAGTCCGAACCGCGATCAGTTACGTTGCCAGCTAAAACCGCCGCCTTCCCTCTTGGCCGCCGCGCAGGTCAACACCGGCAAGAAGAGCGACGGCAACAGGCAAACTCAGTACAGTTCGGTGACGTCTTCGAGGGGCTCGAATAAGACCTTCACGCCCCCATTGCCGGCTCCCGGGAACTATCAGATGGTACAGGGTGGTAACGGCATAAAAAGCGTAGGGCCTAAGGTGAGGGCCGTTCCTTACCAGCACCAGAGGCAGCAGAGTCCGCCGGTGGTCGTTAGGCACGTCTTTACTTCGGGGCAAGGGATACCAGTGACGATGGCTGTTTTGCCGCAAGCGCCTTCTTTAAGTCCTGAGGTAAGCCAAATTTTAATGTCTGTATTTAGTCCGGGCGGTATCGGTTTCGGGTTGGGTAAAACGCATATGATTGGAGATTATCGCTTTAACGGCTTCTAAATAACCTCAGAAATGATAATTTTTCTATGCAAATTAAAAAGAACGTGGGCTTAATTGTTGTTGCAAAAAAGTATAAAAAAATTACAAAAAATTTCATTTTTTTCTTGGATTTCTCGTCGACAACTTAGCAACTATTCGCTTTAGACAAAAATGGAAGAGGGAAAAAAGGTTTTGTAATTAAATTTTGAACAAGATAGAGTTAGTTGCAATTCGAAAAAATAATTATTGTTGTTACAAAAATTGAAAAAATCATTTAAAAAATTGCAAAAAATGCTAGTTTATTTGTCAATATTTTTCAGACACTTGAATAATGCCTAACATCTTCATACTTTTCCCAATTAAACTTCTTAGTGCATAGAATCATCACACCAAATTTCATCCAATTCGGTTTGATAGATTTTACATAATAATTGTTTAATTTTTTTTTTTAAATTATGAAATTTTCAAAATCAAAATTCTAAAAATCTAAAGCCTTTGAATACTTGAAAATTTCACTACAAAAAGAAGAACTCTCAAGCTTTAAAATGGTTTTTGAAAAATTCAAATCGGACGATTAGGTGAGCCGTGGTGATTGTTTAAACATTTTCGCAATTTTCACGCTTATAAAAAATGCAATAATTTAATGTTTTTTTCAAATTTTTAGTCGTTTTAAAATATGGTTTGAAAGTACTCGGAAAGACGAGTATTTAAAAAAAAAACCTGATGATCCACCATTATTTTCTGAGTTATAGCCCGTTAAAGTTAACCCTTATTTACAGCAAAACTATAAGGGTATAAGGGCTGTTTTTTGAACCAATAGGTTTGTCATTCCGAATACTTTCCATATTATAAATTTTCAAAATTTAAAAATCGATTTTGAAGACATGTCAGAAGAAAGTGCAAGTGAATTCGACAATCAGATTTCAGAGTCGTTAGAAAATAATATTTTGCAGTTGCAGGACGAGGAAATCGACGACGAAATACATTGTGATAATACTGATGAGGCATGTAAAAAATCACCAACTAGTAAAAGAATTAGATTAGATTAAATGTAAATAAAAATTGAAATAAATAGTTTAAAATTTGAAAAATCATGAAAAGTGTGTACTGTTTATTGAAGTATCCAAAAGATTCTTATATTTTTTTATATAAATAAAAAATAAATTTTAGTTAAATATTTTAAAAGTAAACGAAAAAATTAAAATTATAATTATTCACAATTTATGTGAATAATAATTTTTGAAAGACAGAAATTTAACGTACAACTAAAAATTAATACCAATTTTCAGTTGTTTATTTAAATAATTATTGTTTAAACAATTTTATAATATTTAAACAAACTTACTAGTATTACCTGGTGCAACATGCAAAAATTTTGGTCGTGAATATTAACATAGTAAATAAATAAACATAATAAATTAATCATTTTTTAAAGTAACTGTTTATCGGCATGTCAAAAGTCCAATAATTAATAATAAAAGGTAGTTGAAAATATGATAATTGAATTTTTTAAGTTGCGAGACATCGATTTAAAAAAAAATCATCGAAATTGGTCCATTAGAAGCTGAGATAAGTGAAATTTTTCCGAGCGTCGCAGTTTTGAACTCGAGAATTCAGATCGGAGTAGCTGTGTGTTTGCTCCCCCCACCACTGATACCTCATTGATTTCACGCGGTCTTGAATATCTTTGAGTGACATTTTAAATGGGACGCCCGTGATTGCAAATTTTGAAAATTTATATCTGGAAAGTACTCGGAATGACAAACCTATTAGTTCAAAAAACAGCCCTTATACCCTTATAGTTTTGCTGTAAATAAGGGTTAACTTTAACGGCCTATAACTCCGAAAATAATGGGCGGATCATCATGTTTTTTTTTTAAATACTCGTCTTTCCGAGTACTTTCAAACCATATTTTAAAACAAACAAAAATTTGAAAAAAAACATTAAATTATTGCAATTGTTTATAAGCGTGAAAATTGCGAAAATGTTTAAACAATCAAATCGTCCAATTTGAATTTTTCAAAAAGCATTTTAAAGCTTGAGAGCTGTTCTTTTTGTGGTGAAATTTTCAAGTATTCAAAGGCTTTAGATTTTTAGAAATTTGATTTTGAAAATTTCTTAATTTAAAAAAAAATTAAACAATTATTGTGTAAAAACTATCAAACCGAATTGGATGAAATTTGGTGTGATGATTCTATGCACTAAGAAGTTTAATTGGGAAAAGTATGAAGATCCTAGGTATTATTCAAGTGTCTGAAAAAAATTGACAAATAAACTAACATTTTTTGCAATTTTTTAAATGATTTTTCTGATTTTTGCAACAACCATAATTATTTTTTCAAATAGCAACTAACTCTATCTTGTTCAAAATTTAATTACAAAACTTTTTTCCTTTTCCATTTTTGTCTAAAACGAATAGTTGCTAAGTTGTCGACGAGAAATCCAAGAAAAATATGCATTTTTTTGCTATTTTTTTATACTTTTTTGCAGTAACAATTAAGCTCACGTTTTTTTTTATTTGCATAGAAAAATGATCATTTCTGATGTTATTTAGAAGCCGTTAAAGCAAAAATCTTCGATCATATGCGTTTTACCCAAGTATACCCTTTTTAAAACAGATACTGCTTGGACTAATTACATAAAAAACATATTTATACATGCAATTGGGAACAGCAGCATGCATTGTTGTCGAATCTCGTCTTAATTCGTATACATGTTTTTTAAACAGTTAAACTTGACAATAAAGACACACAAACACACTGTATTGTTACTAAATAAGGAAATAACTATAAGGTTATAAACTTAGCTACTACACAAAACACTTCAAATTTTCATATGAAAATAAACTTAATAACAACAATATTGTACATTGTTCACATTCTACTTTGATTCTAGTAAAAACATTAACTGATATTCGATTTAGCCAAATTAATGTTGGCTGATTATTTTTTGTACCGTGTTGTCATATCTCATTGAATTGATACTATGTAGTTCACCAAATGCAGGACAACAACTAATGCCCTTCGCTTTGTCACCGTTGACTCGCACTATCTCCCTTCACATGCACTGTAGGTTGCCTACAATTCATGAATTTGTAATATATAATCACAGTGGCGGCGTACACAAGTATTAAAGTGCATTTTAAAGAACTAATTATAAGTTAACTATTTATTTGATTAAAAAAAAAGAATTTCAAAATTGTATTCAGGGAAGCTACTAAGTATAAAGTTGGAGAGTTACCATATAATTTTTTAAATATGAGCCTGGCAAAATAATTGCTTCACGGCAAATTTACAGCAAATTTTGACAATAAATCTACAAAATTAACCTTAGTTTTAATTTTTTTTTATTCCCTTTACGAATACATCATTTTCCCGTAGGTAGTGGAAGCCCAAGGCCAGGTGGGCGCCGTCGGCCAGTACATCCTCGTGCAACGGGCCGGCGTGAATGACCACAACAACATTCCCCGCTCTTCGAGCGCGCCCCCCTCCCAACAGCAACTCGGCGGAGCCATAAACACGGGCAGTGTCTCACACATCGTCTCCGTCGGCGCCAGGGGTCGACCTGCCAGTGTCGAGGCCGAACACCCCTCCCTGCAGTCGCAGCCCTCCAACGATTTCATCGTCCAGTGTCCCAACCCGGGCACCCAGGCGGTGACGAGGAGGCAACGGTTACCTCCGGGCGTGGTCTACGGGGACGTCAGCGTGGATAGTCCGATGCACAATTACACGATCATCGGCGAGAACGTCATGGTGGACCATCCGGGCGCGGCGATGCAGCCCCAGATGGTCCTCCAGAAGAGCAGCAAGCCGGGGGACTCCTGCGCCTGCAGCCTGAAGGCGATGGTGGTCTGTAAGAAGTGCGGCGCCTTCTGCCACGACGACTGCATAGGACCCAATAAGTTGTGTCGTACTTGCTTCATACGGTAGGCTATTGTTTATATAAGTTATTTCATCGAGTTTGTCTGGCGGTAGGCGGTGGTTTTGATGTACGTGTCGGGAGGCGTTCTAAATTTTTTTTTTTAGGTTACCGCGTTGTCGTCTCACGCTCTGTCACTGAAAACGTTCGAATGGCGAATTTTTTATTTGAACCCTGTTGATAAGCTAAGCTTATGTAAATGTGTAAAATATTTTTAGCTGCGGTATGACCAAACGAAACATTTTCGATTGATTTTTTAGTAAAGTTTCTGTCGAAACAAAAATTATGGAACAATCCAATAAAAAACAGGTTTTTGACAGGTGATGACATTATCGATTTTTTCTTCTACAACCCGCCATTTTTTGTTACTGAAATTTTGAAATAAAATTTCATTTAGCGAACAAAATTTTGTTACCTACAAATAAAAAGCTAATAAATTATTCTGTTCAACAAATAATATTAAAACATTCATTCAAATCCAAATGGATGGTTTCCGTTTAAAAAATCGACAAAATCAATGCCATTGTTTTTTTTTTTCAAAAAAAAAAAGCTATTTTATCCAATTTGCTCCATAATTTAGTTGGCTCACTATATAAATGAGAAGATTTTATCTTTTATGCATTTAACCTACAAAATAATTTAATTAAATAGTCCTTGTTTATTTGATCTTTGTCTGCCGTTTTTTATATTTTTCAATACATCGATCCAATCGGTAGAATTGAAATTTTAAGCAAATCAATTAAAAGGTTTTAATTTTTTTTTGTTATTGCTCTACTTTTAAAATGAATTTTATTCCAAATACATACTGAACATTGTGAGAACAGTTCGCAGGCATAATTTCGGAAGAGGTATAATTTAATCGGCGATATACAGGCTGTTCCGATTTAGGGATGTGCAAGATGGGCCAAATTTGACATTTTTGGGGGTTTTCTTAAAAAGTAGTTCAGATGTCACTGTCTCGATTTCCCAGAAAAGGTGACTAGCAAAAATCGTATCTCGTTACCGAAGGACCAAAATTGAAGGATGTTCTGTATCCCTTTAACAAATCAGTAATAATAATAATAATAATACGTAATGCTTAATAATGTAAAAACATTATGTAGTCAAAATCTATTACAATAAAAGTGTCAAATTTGGTCCAACCTGTACAAACCGTCAGCGTAATAAATAAAAGTGAAATATCTTTATCGAAAGAAACCTAAAAGTTCGTATATCTGGAAACTTTAACTTTCTAAGATTTGCAAATCTGAAACGGTGCGATTTTTTTTAGGTAGTAATTTAAAAAAAATTGTAGTTACAATTTTCTTTATCCGAAATTTAATATGACGTCAATATTGTTCGCCCCTCAAAATATCTCCAAATCAATTTCTTTAAATTTTAAATACAAATTTAAAAATGAAACTACCTATTTTAATTTTTTTTTTTTTTTTTCATTTAATTCTTTCTTGGTTCAAGTCGAAGCTAAGGAGTATGTATAACATCATGGATTGATAAAAACTTGGGCCACTGTTTTATCTAAGAAGTAAAAAAATGTGAACAATGAGCGGTTTTAGGGTTCTAATTTTTTTAATATTAAATTGAGCTTACATCACAGTTAAATAAATCGAAAATAACTCTAAAATTATTCCTTACACAAAAACAAAAACACAGAATACGAAATACGTGTCAAAAATTAAAAAAAATCAATGGCCCAAGTTCAGTCGACGACAAACATCCTCAGAGATATTTCAGAAAATATTCATCCTGGACATAATTAATGTGTCTCTTGTATAACACTAGATTTCTAACATTTTGTCCCTTTTTTCGATTTTTATATGTCGTTTTAACTACTTTTAGATTTTATGAATTTTTAGTAAACTCTTGGAATTATTCATTATTTTCATGTTCGTGGAATGATGTGATGTATATATCCCATATACCAATTATCAGTCAATTCCAATTTCACGACAATAAAACTCGTAAAAACATTTGAACGTTCTTTATTTTTAATTAATAGTCTGCACCTATAAATTGGGACACCCTGTATATGAAGGTCAATTAAAGTCGAAACAAAAACGAGCAGATATTAAAATTACGAAAGAGTGTAATATAACTGTTCAAATTTCATAAATTTGATGGTTATTGTCGATAATTAAATTTTCAAACTTTATCAACTCTTAGAAAATTTGTTGTTTTGTATATCTCCTAAATATTGCACATATTTTTGCAAAATTATTAAAGTATATTCAGAATTATAAGACACGTCATATTTTACGCATCCTGTATATTGCATGACAAAAAAAAAAGATAGAACATTAATTTCGGTTTTTAATATACGTGGGTGTATAGTATTTAAAATAATATTAAGTAAAACAGTAGTAGTATTTATAATATTGATACGGCAGTATTACGAAATTCCATTTTTAACATAACTTCCCAAAAAAAAAAAAGCGAAATGGTGGTACGTTCTTCCTTATATCCGTGCTTTAAACTAGTCCGTAATGCTTTAATACATGCTTTAATCGATACCCTTGAGTTGCTATACTTTCGGTGCGAATCGTAACAAATTCCGCACGACATCAAAACCGTTTGGTGTAAAAATGTGTAAATATTAGTCGTTAGCGTACGTCCGCGTCTGCCACCGGGCGAAGTCGTCTTTGTACTGTGGTAATTTTAAATGCAACAACAAGACTTGGTTTATATAGTGATTTTAAAATAGTTAGGGAAGTATGTCGTGAGTCGAAAGTGACTAATGTCGTCCCCCCCCCCTGCCCAGTTCAATGCTTACGTTGGGCAAGTATTATATTTTCGTCGTCCCGTTCCATGTGGAGTGTTTTAAAAGTTTAATATATCCAAAATTTATATCTAGATCGTCAGTTTGTACGTCTTATGAAATTTAAACTGTAAACATCATTTTTTGACCCACTTTCGACTAATTAGGCCGCGGGGTAAACGGGGGCGCAATCTTCGTAATCCTAGATTTTCCTCAAAATTTCGTCTGGTTCTCGAGATTCTCGGAATTTCCTCGTTTACCCCTCGATTTAGGCTTATTTTAACAAAGAGAAGGTATTAAATACTCGTTTTTACATTTTTAATCCTTTTATTTATTTGCGGATTTCACCACATATCACTAGCATTTCTTTTTTACATTTTTTTTTGTAACTTATTTATTTTTCGTTACTAGAAGTCTTCCAAGCATTTTATACATAAAAAAAAAATTGAAATTGTCGCCTGTTTGGATTTTTTTTTACATTGTTTTTTTTTTTCACAAATGTACTACCTCAGGTAATTGTTGTATACTTTCCCATTTTTGCTAAGGTTTTTATAAACGTTTCTAGTGCAATAATAAATTTAATTCATCCTAAGACTAAAAACAGCAACCTTTGTATGTCTTATTTAATTTTCGTGTGTCAGTCGTATATGCTTGTAAGCTTTCCTTAGAGATATTTTTAGGGTCTAGGATAAGATGTGTATAATTATTTTTCATATAAATCTCATGTAGCGTTAAGGTCTTTTTGTGTACAGTTTTTTTTACTATTTAGATTTACTATTTAAGTTTAAAACAACTACTATAGTTCCATGTACATAGTGTCTTTCATGCAATGGTTTAAAAATAGACAGTAATTGTTAATCAATGGTTTCATTGCCCATTCCCGATCCTAACTGTGGTCATTTGTAATTTAAAAAAACAGTTTCTTACGACATAATTAAACTTTTATTTTAATCCACGTAGATGGAAAAAATTGTTTGCAGTTGTTTATTCTCATATCTTTTATTATTTGAGGCGTGTACTAAATTTTGACCAAAAAATATTATAATATTTCAAGTTTTCCGGGCAATTTCAATTCTAATAATCTTTTGCTTGTCTGATAGAGCGTTTTTGATTAAGGTGAAATATCCCACTTCTGAGGAAGCAAGCTAATTTTTCTGGAATACCTTCCGTACAACTCACATAATAAAAGTGTATATCCCTAGATCTGGGGAGGTCAGGAACATTTTCAAAATTACATTAATGTTTAAAAAATTCTAAAAAATACCTATTTTATCCGAGTTTTTTACTTATATCTTGGAACCTATGTATTTTGGAAGAATATTGAACAGGAAAAAAGTTTTAGAATTGAATTTTGCACGATATACTGTAACTTGAAAATGTTTAAATTTATTACCAATGTTGCAAAATAGCAATAATTGATGAAAAAAAGGCAAAATAATCAAGTTTTTTGGATAATTTTTTTCAAATATTTTAATTGCTCTGAGGGCATTCTAATTTTGGTAAAAAAAATTTTAGAGTATAATAAAACAACACGCCAAATTTCAATAAAATCGGTTCCATAGTTTTCGCAAAATAATTTTTTTAAAATTGAAAAAAATTTTTGAATTTTGAAAATGTTGCACAGCCTCAAATAAAGCATCTAGATACTTGGAAAATTTTTTCACATAGAAAAGACCGCTCAATCTTTCAAATGATTTTTGAAAAATTGAAATCGGTTGATTAGGACGGCCACAGTAAATTTTTAACTCTTTTTTTTTATTTTTTAACAATTAGATTGCAATTTAGTTTTTTTCAAAAATTATAATTTTAAAGTACTCGGAAAGACGTTTCTTTTAAAAAAAAAATTAAATCCATTTATTGGTCCTCGAGATATAAGTGGTCAAAGTTTATCGGCACTTACCGTTAATTTATAAACAATTTAGCAATAATCTTTGATCCAGTGGCGGCTTCGTTTTTCCGATTTCCAAGCTGGAAAAAATTTTCATATCCTTAAGTTATCGGCAACATAGATAAATCAGCGGAAAAGTTGTCGCTCGTACGTGCAAAAAGTGTCTCAAAACACGAAAAGTGAAGGACTTTCACTCCTAGACTGAATTCGGAGGTTCAAAATGCGAAGGTATGAAAAATATTGCATTATCTCGGCATCTAATGGACCAATTTCGAGCTTTTTTTTTTATCAGATGTCTCGTGAGCAAGGAATTCGAATATCGTAATGCCAACTGTCTAATTTGCACATATTTTGTTATAAACAAAGTTTATTATTTATGCATTAAACATACTGTATATTTTACCGTATGCTATTGCATTTTTCAATGAAAAAATTTGCTTATGTATATATTTCAAAAAAAATTGTAGTTTAAAATTATAATTTTTGAAAAAAAACTAAATTGCTAATTGATAAATGTAATCTAATTGTTTAAAAATAGAAAAAAGTGTTGACTAAAAAGAAAATTGTGACCGCCCTAATCAACTGATTTCAATTTTTCAAAAACCATTTGAAAGCTTGAGCAGTCTTTCCAATGTGAAAAAATTTTCAAGTATCTAGATGCTCTATTTGAGGCTGTGCAACATTTTCAAAATTCGAAAATTTTTTTTCAAAATTGTTTTCAAAAAATTATTTTACGAAAACTATTGAACCAATTTCAATGAAATTTGGTGTGTTATTTTATTACACTCTAAAGTTTTTTTTATCATAATTAGAATGTTTCGGTGTAATTAAAATATTTAAAAAAAATTATCTAAAAAACTTGATTATTTTGCCTTTTTTTTTTCATCAATTATTGCTATTTTGCAACATCGGTAATAAATTAAACATTTTTAACATGCAGTACATTATACAAAATTCAATTCTAAAACTTTTCTTCCTTTTCAATATTCCTCCAAAATTCATAACTTCCTAGATATAATTAAAAAACTCAAATAAAATAAGTATATTTTTAAATTTTTTAAACATTTTGCAATTTTGAAAATGTTCCGGACCTCGCCCAGATCTAGGGATCTACACTTTTATTGAGTTGTACTGAAGGTAATCCAGAAAAAACTTGCTTACCCCCTCTCACATCCACCTCAAAACAGATCCGCCCTGGTCGTATAGATCAGCTAAAATTAAAAAAAATATATACACTTTTCGAGAAATATGTGGAATTTTTATATAAATTCTAATAACGTTAATGAATTATTCTGTACAAAATCAGAAAATATTTTCTACAACCTAAGGGGGGATAGTTTTTTTTAGGACACCCTGTATACACAACGAACCAAATTTGATTATCGTTACAGGAATCGCTCTTTTTTAAATTTAGCTGTAACTTTATTTTGTAGTCCGACTAAAAAAAAATCTTGAATCATCGTTATGTAATTTTTTGTGTTCTTTTCACTGGTGCAGTAGGTTTGTTGTTTGTTCCAATACCTAATTTTTCAGGTGGGAAGTTTTAATTGGAACACCCTGTATATCATAGTAAATAAAGAAATATTACAATAATTCGAATCTGAAAAAGTTCATGAAAATTTGAGAAATTTTGATATTTACCCGACACTTCCAGATTTATGAAATTCCCTGATAATTTTAGGTTCTCCAAATTGGTATAGATTTATTATTCAATAATTTAAATAAATAATTTTATCAGGCACCATCAGTGAGTAGTGAGTACTTGTATTTAGGCTATTTACGCAACTATAATTATGAACGGAATTTAAATTACTTTATGAAAATTTGAGAAATCTTGATATTCCCCCGACACTTCCAGATTTATGAAATTGCCCGATAATTTTAGGTCCTCCAAATTGGTATAGATTTATTNTGTAAAAAAATAGTGTAACTTTAAAAATTTACTGCGGCCGTCCAAATCATCCGATTTCAATTTTTCAAAAATCATTTGAAAGGTTGAGCTGTCTTTTTTATGTGAAAAAATGTTCAAGTATATCTAAATGCTCCATTTGAGACTATGCAACATTTTCAAAATTCAAAAATTATTTTGCGATAACTATTGAACCAATTTTAATGAAATTTGGTGTGTTATTTCATTATACTCTAAAGTTTTTTTTATCAAAATTAGAATGCCCTCAAAGCAATTAAAATATTAAAAAAATTTATCCAAAAAACTTATTATTTTGCCTTATTTTCATCAATTATTGCTATTTTGCAACATAGGTAATAAATTTAAACATTTTTAACTTCCAGCATATTGTGCAAAATTCAGTTCTAAAACTTTTTTTCCGTTTCAATATTTCTCCAAAATGCATAACTTCCTAGATATAAGTAAAAAACTCAAATAAAATAGGTATATTTTTAAATTTTTTAAACATTTTTGCAATTTTGAAAATGTTCCGAACCTCGCCCAGATCTAGGGATCTACACTTTTATTACATGAGTTGTACTGAAGGTAATCCAGGAAAAATTTGCTCGCCCCCTCTCACATCCACCTCAAAACAGATCCGACCTGGTCTAGATCAGCTAAAATAAAAATTATATAATTTTTCAAGAAAATGTGGAATTTTTATATAAATTCTAATAACGTTAATGAATAATTCTGTACAAAATCAGCAAATATTATTTTCTACAACTTAAAGTGGGGATAGTTTTTTTGGGACACAGAGTGAACCAAATTTGATTGTCGCTACAGGAATCGCCGTTTTTAAATTTAGCTGTAACTTTATTTTGTGGTCCGACTAAAAAAAATTCTTGAATCATCGTTATGTAATTTTTTGTGTTCTTTTCACTGGCGCAGTTGGTTTGTTCCGATACCTATTTTCCAGGTGGGAAGTTTTAATTAGAACACGTTGTATATCATGTAAATAAAGAACGTTTACAATAATTCGAATCTGAAAAAGTTCATGAAAATTTGAGAAATCTTGATATTCCCCCGACACTTCCAGATTTATGAAATTGCCCGATAATTTTAGGTCCTCCAAATTGGTATAGATTTATTATTCAATAATTTAAATAAATAATTTTATCAGGCACCATCAGTGAGTAGCGAGTACTTGTATTCTTACTATTTACGCAACTATAATTATGAACGGAATTTAAATTACTTTATTAAACTACATACATATTAGTGAACATTTATAAAATATTCACGTCGATATTCACTTTCGCGTTCAAAAATACAACCAAGCCCTACTTAATGCGTCTATGTATATATGAAAATATTATTTCAGTAAATAACATGGCTATTGCGAGTATTTAAATTACCACTATTACCAGAAAACGGCACAAGGCACAAGTCTCTCAATTCTTATTCTTCTAAAAATTCGAAAATAAAAAAGAATACCATTTAGCAACCTTGAAAAGCCGGGTGGTCCAATAGCCCCTCTCTCTTGCACTTGCACTGTTCACGTTGTTTTGTTCTTTTTCTACAGAAACAAATGGACCTGTGCCGCCATGTGGGTGGTCTTTCCTTCTCTCTCGCTCTCGTTCCCGCGGATAAAACCATCTCTGTCATTTCGCTTCCTCAAGAAAAAGTTCAAAACATTCTTGTCTTGAGAGTTGTAAGCATGGTTATCATTGTTCGGTTTGTTTATTGAGTTCTTATACATAAAATACTCCCCACATAAAATATTTTGTCTACCAATATTGTCGTTTGTGATGTTAAGTGAAGACCGAGATAATTATGAAGAGATATGGTTAAAAGGAACAATTTTCATAGACTAGACTGGAAATGAGGACGCCATATATTTTGATAATATATTTCAGTATCGTAAACAACAAGGCATTGAATATTAGTTCGGATGCATCAAATAACACCACTAATGACGAACTTGAGGAGGAGATTACACCACATATCAGGCACAGAGAGGGCAAGAAACCAAAGGATAATAACAGTAGGTTCTATGATTTGAATTTGAGGTACTGCCAAAGACCTGCGACTTGTCAAGCTTTAAACTATAGTACTTGTATGGGGGCCAAGTTACCTTACCGTAGCACTACCTTAGAATTAACAGACCTCAAATCGCAATGGGAAATACAAGAAAAACTATCCCTCTACGAATACCTGCATTTTGTACCTAAATGTTGGGCAGTAATTCAACCTTTTTTATGTGCGTTGTACATGCCCAAATGCGATAATAACACGGTAGATTTACCCTCTAAAGAGATGTGCAAAATTACATTGGAACCCTGCAAGATTTTGTACAACAGTTCCTTATTTCCCGAATTTTTAAATTGTGATGATAAGCGGTTGTTCCCTCCCAAGTGTAAAAATGATATCCATGACATGAAGTTCAATATCACAGGGTTCTGTATGGATCCGTTGGTTAAAACCGATAAGCCAGAGTGGTGGTACCCCGACATAGAAGGCTGCGGATTGAAATGTAAAGATTCACTTTACACCGAAAGAGAACATCGCCAAATCCAGAAGCTTATGGCGTACTGTATACTGTTGTGTATATTTTTGAACATGTTCACTATCCTGACGTTTGTGATCGACTGGAAAACCGCAAACAAATATCCGGCACTGGCCATATTTTATGTCAACGTATGTTTTTGTATATCGTACGGCGGTTGGTTGGTGCAGTTCTTGGGGACAGAGACCAGAGAGGATATCGTGTGCAAGAAAGATGGTACGTTGAGGAAGTCTGAACCGAGTGCTAGCGAAAACTTGTCTTGTGTCATCGTCTTTGTAATGGTTTATTATTTTATAATCGCAGGAATGGTGTGGTTTGTTATTTTTAGTTACGCCTGGCATATGAGTTCGTTACAAGCGTTAGGTATGATGTAATCGATGAGTGTGTATCTTTCAAAACTTTATTTTTTTTTAAGGTAAAATCCAAGAACGTGTGGACAAAAAACGAGCATATTTCCACCTCGTCGCTTGGAGTTTACCTCTGATGTTAACTATTACGACGATGGCAATAGGAGAGATAGATGGAGACTACGTAACGGGTATTTGTTTTGTGGGATATGTTAACATGGCTGCCAGGATAGGGTTGCTACTTTGTCCACTAGCAGCTACGATGATTGTCTCAGGATACATAATCGTACGAGGTAAAACGTATTTTTGATTGTAAGTGCCTTTATAGCGAATTAAATTATGTTTTAGGTCTTATACTTTTGGTTAAAGTGAGAATAGACAGTCGCGAGGTTATATCGGAGCACTCTAGCAGGAAAATTAGGTCGAATATTGTGAGAATGGGCGTTTTTACCATATTTATGGTGGTGTTTTGTGCGATTACGTTTTTTTATCATAATTACATTGCCGTTAACTCGAAGCACTGGAGCGCAAGTCTACAGAGTTACATTTTGTAAGTCATTTATTGATATTAAATTAAATTTGTACCTGATCGTAATTCTGTATAAATTTCTAAATTTGGCTTATAGCCAGTCAAATTGTCAAAAATACCTCGTTTTTTTGCCAAAATTTAATTCAGTAAATAAAGACACGTAAAAATTAGGAAAAATTCCTTAGAATTGAATGAATTACTTTACCCCAGCTGAATGTTAGGTCTTCATTTTCAAAATGGCGTCCAAAGTTCCCAAAAAACAGTTTTTTTCATTTAAAAAAGGAACTAAACATTTTAAAGAAAAATGTTTTATACAAAATTTGTAGAACTTTTTATAACAAAAATTTTGAGCCCAATGTATTAGTTGTAAAAAAACGCCTAAACATCACATTTTTTTAAATGTTCTGTATTCTTCAAAAAATTACAAAATATTTGGTAGTTTTTGCAAAAATTGAGTTCGAAAAAAAGATTTTCTCAAGTTTCAATAAATCATACAGTAATGCACTTACGCGACCCATCTTGGGCTTAAAATTTTCTCTAAGAGTTGAACTTTTACAAATTTGCAAATTTGCATTTGTGCAAATTGTGCGCATATTGGAAAATAATTGAAAATATGTGAAAAATGTATTGAAACTTGGACTTCTTTTTTTTGGAGCAAGTATTTTACTGAGCTCGACAAAATTAAGTTTACTGTAAAAAAAGTAGGTCAATCAATGCGGACTATTTTTTATATTGAGGTAAAAGTATTCAACTACAACATGGGTGAATTTCAGACTTTTATATTAATCAATGAGATTGATGTGATTTTTTGAAAAAAACATTTTTTCTCGGCTGCTGTTGGTCGTAGGAATTTTTTTTTAATTCGTGAAAAAATGTCAGCTTTCAAATGACAATAATGCCATTCTGTTTAAATTTCAACGATAAGAAAAGGATCTAAGTATATTTTTCCCGAAAAAATAAGAAAGTTTTGGTACATTTTTTGCATATTTCCAATTATTTTGCAATACGAGCACAATTTGCATAGGAAAGTACAACGCTTAGAGAAAATTTTAAGCCCAAGATGGGTCACGTAAGTGCATTACTGTATGATTTATTGAAACTTGAAAAAAACATTTTTTTTTGAGAAACTTAATTTTTGCAAAAACTCAAATATTTTGCAATTTTACAAAAATGCACTTATTCTACTGATATGGACTACATATTCTGAAAGTTTCGCAAAAAAATCTTTTTTTGTTTTAAAGACAGAAATTAAAAAAAATGCGTTTTTTTTTTTATAATAACTAATACATTTCTTTACCAGTTGACATCAGGCTGGGCTCAAAATTTTTGTTATAAAAAGTTCTATAACTTTTCTCTAAAATATTTTTTTCTGAAATGTTTAGTTTTTTTTAATGAAAGAAACTGTTTTTTGCGAACTTTGGACGCCATTTTGAAATGAAGCCCTAACATTCAGCTGGGGTAAAAATTTTTCCTAATTTTTACGTGCCTTTGTTTATTGAAGTAAAGAGTGACCGCAAAAATCGTCCGTTTTTCACAATTCGCATAGAACTAAAGAAAATAGATACAAATATGTTTTTGGTCTCAAATTACTCGTTGTAAAATATTAACATGAGCATAGGTTTTAGTTTTTTGTAAATTGTCAAAAATCGCCCCTGTTTAGGGGGTGAAAAGACGCTCAAAACGAAGAATTGATTATTACCAATAAATATAAAAACTATTAGCATGTGAATTTTTCTATCGAATGATTCTTGATACAAAGAAAGATTTATTTTCATGACTGAAATAAGCATGTTGAATTAGAAAATCCACCCTTAAGCGCGCTCAGGGGGTAGAATCATCCACAAAAATAGAGAATATCAGAAATAATNTGGGTCACGTAAGTGCATTACTGTATGATTTATTGAAACTTGAAAAAAACATTTTTTTTTGAGAAACTTAATTTTTGCAAAAACTCAAATATTTTGCAATTTTACAAAAATGCACTTATTCTACTGACATGGACTACATATTCTGAAAGTTTCGCAAAAAAATCTTTTTGTTTTAAAGACAGAAATAAAAAAAAATGCAATTTTTTTTTATAATAACTAATACATTTCTTTACCAGCTGACATCAGGCTGGGCTCAAAATTTTTGTTATAAAAAGTTCTATAACTTTTCTCTAAAATATTTTTTTCTGAAATGTTTAGTTTTTTTTTTAATGAAAGAAACTGATTTTTGCGAACTTTGGACGCCATTTTGAAATGAAGCCCTAACATTCAGCTGGGGTAAAAATTTTTCCTAATTTTTACGTGTCTTTGTTTATTGAAGTAAAGAGTGACCGCAAAAATCGCCCGTTTTTCACAATTCGCATAGAACTAAAGAAAATAGATACAAATATGTTTTTGGTCTCAAATTACTCCTCGTAAAAAATTAAGATGAGCATAGGTTTTAGTTTTTTGTAAATTGCCAAAAATCGCCCCTATTTAGGGGTTGAAAAGACGCCCAAAACGAAGAATTGAATATTACCAATAAATATAAAAACTATTAACATAAAAACATAAACATAAAACACACCACAGAAATGAGAATTTAGCATGTGAATTTTTCTATCGAATGATTCTTGATACAAAGAAAGATTTATTCTCATGACTGAAATAAGCATGTTGAATTAGAAAATCCACCCTTAAGCGCGCTCAGGGGGTAGAATCATCCACAAAAATAGAGAATATCAGAAATAATTGTAAAAAAAAAAAAAAATATAAGATAATTCACATGCTGATAGTTTTTATATCAATTTGTAATATTCATTCTTCATTTTTTGGCATTTTTTCAACCCCTAAGTAGGGCTCATTTCAATTTTTTACTACCAAAAACATATTTTTATGTATTTTTTTTTAATTCTGCAAATTGTGAAAAAACGAGCGAAAATTACAGGTTTTTTGCGATCACTCTTTTTTTGAAAAAAAATTCTCGGCACCTGCTGATCAAGGATATTTTTTTTTAATTCGTGAAAAAATGTCAGCTTTCAAACGACAATAATGCTATTCCTGTTAAATTTCAACGATAAGAAAAAGATCTACATTATTCGAAAGAAGTGAAAGTTTTGGTAAATTTTTCGCATATTTTGAATTATTTTTCAATACGAGCACAATTTGCATAGGAAAATACAACTTTTTAAGTCCAAGATGGGTCACGTAAGTCGTTACTGTATAATTTATTGAAATTTGAAAAAAATGTATTTTTTTTTTTTGAAAAACTAAATTTTTGCAATTTTCCAAAAATGCACTTGTTCTACTTGCCAAGGACTACATATTCTGAAGGTTTTGCAAAAAAAATCTTTTCTATTTAGACAGAAATGAAAAAAAAAATGCAATTTTCAGCCGTTTTTTGCAATAACTAATACATTTTTGTTTATCGGACTGAAAATGAAGCCCTAACATTCAGGTGGGCTAAGTTTTTCCTAATTTTTACGTGTCTTTGTTTACTGAACTAAATTTTGGCACTTAAAAATTTAATCTGATTGGACTATGAATTGAAAATAATTGTAATTTTTTTTTTAATAGCTGGTTAAGTAACTCGGTTAATATTAAGTTTTCAAAAAAGTGTCGCCTGACCTGTTTCATTCATACTTTACTGTTGTGTTTTTGTTAATTAGATGTAAACTGAACAGTCGCCGATTAGGTTCGGACTCGTCGCATTGCAAACAGGAAGCACGACCTAGTGTGTCCATGCTGCAGTTACAGCTGTTGGCAGTGTTCGGAACGGGCGTGGCGATGGCCTCCTGGGTGTGGTGTGACGCAACGCTCCATTCTTGGGGACGATACATAAGGAGGTAAAACACTGATAAATTATTATTAATTACCGGTAAACGTTCGTTGTTTTCCCCACAGAAAATTTCACTGCGAAGTAGAAGAACCGATGAAACTCCAAAAGCACAAGATAATAGCCCAGGCGTTCGCTAAACGGAAGAAGTTCAACGAGGGCGGCCGCATCTCCATCCTGTGCCAGAACCATACGGATCCCGTGGGCCTGAACTTTGAACTCAACAGCGCTGCCAGCAACGAACTCAGCACCACGTGGGCGGCCAACCTGCCGCGTCTCGTGAACCGCCGTGGCGCCGTCCCCAACGAAGTGGCCTATTCCATGTCCAGTAACAATCACTCGATAGACAGCGAGGTCAGCCTGAACGTGAGGCACGTTAGCATCGAGAGCCGCAGGAATTCGGGCGACAGCCAGCTTTCCGTGCAAATCGCGGAACTGAAAGCGACCCGCAAGGTGAACAGCAGGAAACACAGGAATCGACACAAACACAACTTCAGGAGCAATTCGAGGAACATCGGGCACTCCTCGAGGAGGTTGTCCAAGAGCGGTGCAAAACGGGAGAGCAGCACCAGCCTGGACTCTCACCTCCAGCTCATAAACGCCCTGACCAACACGGGGGACGTGAAGAACTTTGGGCCGAACTTGAACCGTCGTTCGGGTAACGCGGGGCTAGACGGCCAGCACATCAACAACCTCCTGTCCAACGGCAAGCTGGTTATACCCTACGGCAGGAACAATTTCAAGAGCGGCAGCGAAGACGAGAACGTTTCGGTGACGATTTCCGAGAGCACGTTCAACATGAAGCTCAGCAACCCCCAGAACATGGACCTGAACGATCAGTTGGTCATGAGATCGCTGCGACAGGGCCTCCACATCGCGGAACTCAACACCACCTCCGACACCGACAACACCGAGAAACTTAACAAGGACTACGGGCAGGAGAAACGATCCGGCTCGCACTCGAGCAAGAGATCAAGGCGTTCCAGGCGGTCCCGGAAGAAATACAGCGGCAATTCGGAGAGCGGCAGCTCGTCCTGCCCGGAGATCAAGCAGCTGGTGCAGAGCTCGCTGAATTCGGGCGTTTCGGTGGGGTGCGAGAAGAGCCGCGGCTCGAGGCAGTCGAAGACGTCCATCGACGTGGCCGTCCAGGCGGACGCGCAGGACATCGTCACGCAGACGGCGGCGTTCGACCTCGAGCTGAGGAACCTGAACAAGACTGAGGAGGAGAAGCACAAGACCAAGCAGGCCAAGACGAAGGAGAACAAGAAGTACCGGCGGGCCAGCAGATACTGTGATATCGACAACGACCAAAGGGTGAAGAGGTACGGGAATGCGGGCAGCTCGGAGGAGAGGCGGTCGCTGTGTCGGGACTCGAATAAGAAGTGTTCGGATCTGAGCGACGAGGAGAGCCTCCTGAAGGACAGGTTTAAGGTAAACGTTAGGAAGTCTAAGGAGATTATGTGATTACGTGCGAAAGGCGAAGGGTAAACCTCGGTTGTAATTTTGTACACTAGAATTGGTCTACTCGAGCGAATTCGCCGGATTTCCTCTGTTAAGGAGTGAAACCATATTGGGAGATCGATTTTCAGACGTTTTTTATTCATTTTTTTGAGTGGGACAAATCGATTAGAATTTGATCAAACTTTGAATATTTTGAACTACATTTACAAATTTTTTCAACTCGTTTGTGTTGAAAATGCCGAAGTTATGGGCACGTTATGGGTCATGTTGTCCACCGAAGGTCATCGTTCGAGTTGGTTGTTCACGGGAAACGTGGGGGTCGCAATTTTGATTTGAAAGCAAAATGGTCGTTTTCCTACATTATTAACATGTTTTCTAAAAATATGAACCTCATTGCGGGTAAAAATTGTGAAAATTGAAGTTTTGACACGTGTTTCAAAAAAATTTATCCATTTTCTCCATTTTTTTTTTTTTACTTTTAATAAAAAACACCCTTAAAATCTCAATTATTGATTCATGATCTTTGTAATTTCTTAAAGAAACACACTTTCAATTTTCATAAGTATGACACAGTTCCCGACGTCCCTTGAATAAAAAAAAAATGTCCTTCCGAGAAAAACATGCTCAAAAATTTCCAAAAACTAAAAATTTGAGAAAGTATGAATTCATATTTCCTGTACACTATAATTCTCCTGGGGTTTGCTCCTCGGCAGAAAGGCAATTTTCATTGTTCGTTTCATTGTAAATTTTTACAAAAATTGGAATAAGGAGACAGAGTTTTAAAAGCAAAAAACAGATGGCGGCACTAGCGTCATTTATGAGTAGTAAATACTCAAGTTTTCAAAACATCTTGACGACGGCAAAGGTTCATTTTGTAATTGCTTGCCTATTCGCTCAGTGCCTTATCATCATAATTTTGATGGTCTCATAACGTAGTACTAACCAGAGTTTTTTTATGAACAAATGTAAATATACGACTGAAACATGATTAACGATAGAGTAAATTTTGATAACTTTGTTTTCTTTTGTGGGCCTAAGGCGTTCACGTACCGCGCTCATATTTAACTTCATTCGCTTCATTTTCGGGATACAGGGTGTTTAAATTGGAAAAAACATCTTTCACCAAAAATACTCTGAGGATGTTTGATGTAGACTGATGAAACTTGGACTACTGATTTATATAAGAGCCAAAAAGCCATTAACTTGACTTGCAAATATATCTTTATCAAAACTCGAATTCAAAAGATAAATTTAAAAATTTTTTTTTTGTTCAAAACTAAATCTCTGTTAAGTACTTTAACAATTGGACGATACAGATATATCTACAGAGTATAAGAAGTTTGACTGCCATTACTTCAGCGTGAGATAGAATAATCATAAATGAGCAAAAAAAGATGTATATTACAGCGGCGTGAGATTAACAGTATTGAAAATACAGCGAGTATTAATATTGAGAAGTTTTGTGACAACAGTGCTTAACCTAACGCTACACAGCTGATGCATACCGCGTGTGCACGTGGCAGACTTGTCCTATGGAAAAAATGTAAACAACTCTTATTGAGAAATATTTAGTAAATTTCATGACAATTGTTTTCCAGTTTTTAAATAAATAAAATAAAATGTATCGATTTTGTAGTACGAAAATAGAGTTGTGTTTAAAGTTTAGCTCGAATTTTAGTAATTATGAATCTCTTAAAATAGGAACTTTACTTTTAATCAAATTACGAATTTGAAAAATATGTAATTAAAGTACCCAAAGATTCACGTCATCCAAATAATCATATGGATTAAAAATAATTTAGATACTTACCAAAAAACAATATTCAGTAATTTTTAAACGGACAAGTACAAAATAAACTACAACATAATGCTCAAAATGTCCACCACCATTTTCGATGCACACACGACACCTTCGAATCCAATTTTCGCCACTCTTTGGAAAACACCTCGAGAAAAGGAAATAATGGTATGCAAAAAACACTCAGACACGGTCCAATTCCAGATACCAATTGAGATGCGTAATGCTGAACAGCTTAATACCTCGTGTTATCTGCCGCGCCGTTGTCACATCGCTCGAATGAGTTATTGAATTTTAAATTTATTACACCGCTAATTATTTTTTAAAATTAACCATAAAGAAGTTAAAAAAAGTGATAAACATTGTATTTGATGGTATTCTATGCGCGCAGTTATGTCAATATTCCTCAATTAATTGAATTTTTGTACATTTTTGTTTATTTTAATGTATTGTATTGTCTGTTAAAATTAAGGCAGTCAAACTTCTAACACCCTGTATTCACTAATAATTGGTGACTAATGGTATCGTAAGACACAACTACTCTGCGCACTACCACCCGATCCGGTATTGAATAATCTCCACAGTAACTAGTGAACGGCTAAGATCATTCATCGGTAGAATAACCAGACTCACACAGGTTCCAAACTTATTAGTTCTCATCAGTGATAATTAAGATATTACATAATTTGTCGGTTATGTCTCGTCCTCTCAGACTCATCGTTAATGTTGATGATCTTGGTGGTAACGCTACAGATTTGTTACGTACAGGGGCATACATTCAGGAGTAGACAGAGTAGTGTTCATTCTTAATATTTTTTCCTTGAAGTTTGGCACACTAAGGGCTTTACAAAGATGTATGCTTCATGTTGATGGAATGCATCATTTTCCGGATTACTAAAATGTCTCGAGTGTCAAAAAATTTGATTTTTTAAATAATTGCATTCATGAAATAAATATTATTTATGTATGTGGTTTTCCTCGACTATTTTTGTAATTTGAGATATCCACATATTTCATTAATTTTAAACACCTATATCCAAAACGAAGCATTTCCAAATAGTTACAGCAATTTTCTTTTTAATTTGTGGCTTTTAGTTACTCTCCGTATAAAACATTTTATTACATGTACGTTTATTAATTCGCAAAGTATACATATTTACAGAACCTCAGTACTCAGTACCAAATTAAAAAGAGATAAAATTCTCAAACGATGTAAAGTAGTAATATTCAAGGGTTTTTTGTAGGTTAATATACAGGGTGTCCCAAAAGTGACGCTCGGCCTCAAAAATCAAAAATCAATAGTGGAAAATTTTCCTATTGTTTTTCTTTGTCGAGTTATTCAAAAACCTAAAAATAAACATCGCGTTAATAGACCAAGAGATGCTACAAAGGGTTCATGCTTCAATGTTGAATCATGCCAATCTTTGTCTTGAAGTAGAAGGCAACTTATTTGAACAACTTTTGTAAAAACAATTTCTATTATTTAAGCAGATTATGTTTTTTCCCCTCCATTTTAAAATTATTTTATTATCAAAATGCTTTTCTCTATCCTTTTCAAGTTACTTATTTGTCTTGATATAAACACAGATCTGAGTATTGAGACAAAAAAATTGGATTTTCACTTTTTTCAGTTTCTTGAATATTTTTTTTGGATAACTCGACAAAGAAAAACAATCGGAACATTTTCAATTCTTGATTTTCAAATCGTTTTTGTCTCCTTAATCAAATCCCAAAAGGACGGGCGTCACTTTTGGGACACCCTGTATATATATTTTTTTTGTAACCGACAAGTGCCAATACAATTTTTATATTTATTTATTAGATTAGTGTTGTACTTTTATACCATTTATACTTTTATAAGATACGATAGTGATGAAGCAATACATTTTTATATTGTTTAAAAATGTTTTTAATGAACCTTCTCCAGTTTTTCCTTATACACTTTTCTTCCTATTTTTTTTTTATCAAATTTTTATTTATTTAATTTTTGTACGGATTTTTGATTAAAAACATGCAAGTTAGGAATTTTTTTGCACTAAATCCATAAACTAATGTTTAAAAAAAAAATCAGTTCTTATCAATTTGCCCGGGTGGGATTATTATTTTTGACAAATGAAACCACAAAATTATTAAAGTAACAAATTTATTAGGTACCTGATAAAGATCCGTTACGTAAAAATTAAAAGTAGGTATGTCAAAAAAAAATAAATATACAATTAATATACAACCAAATTAAAACTACAGTGGGAATATTGGGAGGGGGAGAGGAGGGATGGAATGGTCCTGCGATTCGGGAAAGGGGGAGGGGGAGAATTTCTTTAAATTAATTAAACCTCCTTTGCATTTACCAACTATTGATTGAATCGATTGTTTCTGCGAGAATTTGTTACAAATCGTTGTAAATGTGATATCTTTTTGTACGATGAATTGGTCAAATTTAATATTAACGACTGACGATAAAAGCAACCCGCAAACTATAATAGTCTTGACTTATGTCGGACTATCGTAACGGCAATAAGAAATACGTACCGGGTAGGAAAGTATCGATGGTCTATCTGAAGTTACGTGAGAGCGATAAAGTAAGCCATAGAAATCCATGTGATAGACAAGGATGAGTATAGTGAAGGCGTCTAATTGTCACCGCCCATTTCGCCCTTCCATAAATAATAAGTGGATCGTATTTGTGGAAGATCGAAACGGGCGGTGACTATGAGACGCCTTCATTAAAGCCATCCTTCTCTATCGCGTGGATTTCTATGGCTTACTTTATCGCTCTCACGTAACTTCAGATAGACCATCGGTACTTTCCTACCCGGTATATGGAACCTACCTCTTTAAATATTTTGAAAAAGGCTATTAACAAAAACAAAATTGATACTACATATGAAGAATATTAGTAGCGACTTTAATTTTATTTATTTGCAACACTATTTTAACATCCGCAGAGCACCATGGTTAAATTTTTATAAAAAAATTTAGGTTAATACCCAGAATTCTATGAATTGAAAATTGACTACATTAATAATAACAAAATAATCTAAAAAACTAAACTAGCTATAATAATATTTCGCACTGGAACATGATTTTATGTTATTGATTAATTTTACTGTAATATTCTGAGGATGTCACACTATATGATGACGAAACGTCAACAAGTAAATATATTGTGTTCTCATCGAGATTCGGCCTAAATTATAAAATTCCCGCTATTGCCTACAAATAAATAAAATCGGTGGCATCTGTGAATATCAAAAGTGACGAAAAGTCACGAAGATTGGCCACTATCTTGTCCAATTTATCGCAGCTAGGAAATTTACCTCAACACTTGTCAATTTAATCTGGCCAATTCTTTATCAACTCATTGGGTCAAAAATTGGTAAATGTAAAACGGGTCTCGGAAAAGGGGGACATCTACAAGCGGATACCGCGGTTCGTGGATGCCACGTAGTTGAGCAGCTCGTCGGAGTCCTCGCAGATGACGGGCTTCTCGTGGTAGCAGGCGACGTCGTGCCAGGCGATGCCGTCGTTGTAGACGTTGTTCAGGATGGAGAGGCAGGACTCGCTGGTGCCGTTAATGTCGAATTCAGCGTTGTCGGGTTGCCTCTGTTTCTTGTGGCCGGTCTGAGACCAGGGGTTGTAGCCCCAGCCAGCGGGCGTCCTGTTGGTGGGTTGGATCTTCTCGCGGTTGGCGGACCAGAACCAACCGAAGACGTTCTTGGGTTCGAGGTCGGCGCGGTTCTCGCAGCCCTTGAAGTCGCACAGCCTGCCGGACGTCCAGATGTAGGGGACATCGTCTGAAAACGGGCATAGATTGAAATTAGTTGTGTTGAGTGTAAAGTACGTTTATTTTCCCCCCAAAAATCGAATTTTATAGTTAACAAGGTGTCACATCCACCTACATATAGTTTACCAGTGTATTTCGATTCTACCGCTGTATGTTTATCGGATGATAAAAATTTCATTAGCACTGGTTCGAAGATGACGTCACTAATGAGAACGACTTCCATCTTGAGCCGGTTCAAAAACGCTCCGATTGTTTTCCGGTTTTTTTCTAACCACGTTATTTTGATAAATAATATAAAACTAAAACTATATCGTCAACAAATAACTTCAAACAATAATATTATTTACAAATAACCCCAGTGTTGTCCTTTGCTAGTCTAAAATAATTTTTAAAATTGTGAAGTCCATATTTTAGTGCAAATTTCTCCATAATTTGTTTAATTTTTAAAATGATGTAACAATAACGGCCGTATCATAACCTCAACATGGTCTACGCACGATGTCGCAGAGATTTCAACAGTTTTTCTCTCATGTGACGTCACTACATACGCCTAGACACGCGATATTCATACCACGGCTATTTTCAAAACGGAAAGCAACAAAAAACCGACTGAGAGACAATTTTAAAACTTCTTTCTCTACAAAACAATTGATAATGTTACTGCAATGAAATTTACGTAAAAACTGAACTTAAGTCAGTATTGTATTCGTTTTCCTTATTTTTGGTTTTAAATGTGACAAATTAATTAGGTATCTGTTAAAAATATCTTCAGATTCTATGTTTTGATTTCAATTGCAGAAAACATGCGGTTGATTATGCTGAAAGTCTGATGATCTTTTTTTTTTAAAATAATTTCTAGAGATTATATTTTGAAGTATATTGCAAACATAGTGGCTACAACAATTTATATTCTAAATTTTAATAAAAATGAACTTTTTCCGTTTTTTTTTCCAACTTATGAAGAAAAAAAAAATGGTTTTGTTTTTGACGTCATTTTCTCCGCTAATTCTGAACCTTTTATTGTAATTATTTTAATTTTCTGTCAAAAGGTCCTCTCAATTCGTTGTTAAATATAAATAAATGTTTGAAATAAACTCGCTGCGGGCCTGTTCAGACCTGCTTTTTTATGACCCCGTGGCGTATTCTCTCAAATCTACGAATGTACTTTACTTAATAGCAGATCCCGCAGCGTATACCTAGGCTTTAATAAGAGCTAACAATGACCACTTTAAGTTTTACATAATTTTTATTGGAGCTGTGGCCTTAGGAGCATTAACAGCGCGGCCCCGCTAACAGCTAACGACATAATCTTTGTTCGACGTAATGATGTGTAATCCGAAAGTGCAGCCGAGTTGGGCAACCTTTCCCGGCTTTTAAAATGTCAAATATTTGCAAATTATCCAATATTTATCGCCGCTACGTGGAAAACGGCTAAGGTCGCACATAAAGAGCGTTATAATAACACGGTAGGTACGAGTTATGGGCCCATTAGCTAATCTCTTAGACCTAGAGTTTTAATTGTCTTCAGTTTCTCGCGTACCGCTGAGAACAGGAACCGCGCAACCGTGTCCGAGGCGAAGTTTCGCAATCTCGTAATGGCGACGTGTAATTTTCTACGTCCCACGTCTCGAAACTCCTAATGCCTGATTAGTGTTTATTGACGAGGGTTTTACAGTTGTGGCACAGCATACGTAAACCAGCAAATTCAGATGACCGGAAATCGTAAAACGCACGAAGCAACGTTTCTTTTTCGGCTTGCGGAGAAATCGTATTCGTTAAAATTTTAAATTAGTAAAAAAAACGGAGACTATGTAGATACAACTTTTACTTTTGGAATAGTTTCATTTTTCATTTTTTTTATTAAAATTTTGGTCAGTTGGATCTATATAAGTACCTATACAATACTCCAGTGTTATTTCACCTTTTTGTACTACCACGAAAATGTAGACGGTGCAAAACAGGAGTTATAAACAAATTGTCCCAGGGCCAGGCCAAAGCCTCTCGGGAATTCGCACTTTTTGCATTAAGTAAAGCTTATTTTTACGACAATTTTAAAAACGAAAAATCACCTACGCCTCTGTTCCCAAAATAGCTTTTTTTATAACGTTAATTGTTAATTAATTATTAGACGTATCGTTAATTAATTATTAGACGTATCGATATATTTAGATACAATTAAAGAAAGCGTTAAACTTTTATTTTCAAAAAATTTTACGTTGATAGTTCATGTGCTAAATGCGCTAGCAGCAGTGAAAAGCACGTAGGAGCAGGAGCGCCAGGCCCGCGCATGCGCGTGAACGTCGCTCTTGTCGCGAGCGAGATTTTTTACTTCAGCGTTTCAAATTCGTTTTTAAACCAAGTAACAATATTTTACGTACAAATAAGACCTTTACAAAATTTTTGTTATGGTGTATGCTTTTAGATAATTATTGCGATTTTCTGCAGTAGACTTAGTTCACAAATTAATTGGTAGGTTTTGAATATTCGATGACGCATTGTTTCAGACAAATGACAGATAAGCTATTTTTATAAAGTTTCTGTTCTAAACCCAGGCTAAGAAAAATTCCGTCAGTTTGACTCGAACACGAATTGAATATTGGTTGATTCATCGAAAGTAGATTCATTCACCTGAGTGTAGAATAGAACTATAAAAATACCTTCCAGAAATACCTTGTCTTTTTCCATGTTCAAAGGTTTGAGTACCTATATCAAGTATAGTGTTTCCGATGTCAGTTGAACATGTATAAAAACGCCTAGCAATAAAATTTAATCAGTTTCATTGACGTCCCTAAAAAAGTTTTCTGCTAAAAGTAAAAAATTATAATAATTTGCATATAATGTGTAGAAAATTTCTGTTATATGTTTATTTGACCAATTTATTTTAATTATTTATGTTCCCAAACAATATTATTACATTGACGGTAAATTTCGTTTTGTTCCGTTTCAAAAGGTCTCCAAAATGCCATGTTGTAATAATATTAGTAAACAAAATATCCCTCTTATTTCTCCCATTCGTAATTATTGTAATATGAATGACTAATGGAAGGTGCCTATAATAAATTAAAATTACATGAATCACATCAAATTCCGCATTGCTGCACTGCACTGATAGGTCATTTGTTGACAACTTAATTTATGACCAAGTCGCCCAGTGCGGCTGTGTTTGTGCCGCGTTTGCTCGCGCTCTCATCCTTCAACTTCAAGTTTTTTAAATATTTCAATGTCGAGTTGCTGTGTCAGCAACCCAACCTGGTACATACTGCCAACCTCTTGGTTCTTCAATTGAGATCGGAAAGACTATACCTATTTGATTAATTTTCATGAAAACTTTATATATTTTATGTAGGATTAAATCTTCGTCACTACCATCTAATTTTCATTTCTATTTTCCGCTTGCATTTTTGATTGGTTATTCTGTTGCCGCAAGTCCCTACCTACATGGGCAATAACAATAACCTCATTTGCTGTATGATATTTTGACAATTGAATTTTATTATGGGCGTAACTGAAGTCAAGTCGACGCAAGCCTTAAATCTTTGAATGTGCCCTGAATTCCGGAGAGTAGAATTCTTATTACAAACAATTTGTTTCGATATTAACGAACGGAATAATCATTACACTTTTCAAATCGTGATCTCGTTATATCGTGCATCTATCTACCTTATTAGTTCTCGTGCAGCGACCGATGTGGTGCAACAGTTAATAAATATTGCATTTTATGCGATGCAGACGTCACTTTTTTCTCGCAATGACGTTTCCATTTTCCTCGCGAAGACATCTCAATATAGATGAAGGACGTGATGTGTGCAACAGCGTCGAATTAGAATTGCTAATGTCATTACATAATCCAGGCTATTTATAAAGTCAGCTGTGCGCCTAACTCGGCAATAAAGATCGCTGAAAACTACTTCTAGATAATAAAAGGCATCTCGACAGCCAATAAAACGCGCATCAAATTTATTGTATGTACCGAAATTACTTTTTTTTTGTCAAATAAAACATCGATAAAGTAATTTTCATTCACAGGAAAATTGATATGCAAAATGTAGAAAATATACGTACTTTTATGGTATCAGAAGGTTTACATTGAATGGAAAGTTTTCCTTGTAAATAAAACAATATAGTCCAAGCATTATAGAGAAATGCTTACAGAAATTATTACCTGGACAAAAAAAATATGACCGTATAGAAAATTAAATTTTAAATTGAGTTTCTTGTTCTTTAAACTCGATCCAATATGGCGAACATGGTTAAAAAAAATCGCAAAGTTGAAAAAAACGGTTTTTCTAAAATAACTAAAAAAATATAGCACGGATTGAAAAATTTTAAATGAGAAAGTTGTAGGTTTTAAAAAGATCTATCGACTGATTTTTTGAAAGTATCGATTGCTTTGTTACTTTTCGAGATATATCGAAAAAACCGTTAAAAATCTTCTCTTTTCTCTTCTTCTATAACTCGTTTACATTTACGTGCCCATATTTGCTATTTACTGCAAGCATAGCCCGCGGCAAGCCAAAAAAGTACATTTTTGAAAAATTTAAAAATATTAATTATTTTTCGAGATATATCGATTTTTTGAAAAAAAGGCGCTCTCGAAAATTGGCTAGATCTTCTCAGCGGATAGCCCTACAGTAACGATTTTCGGTTTATTTTCTTCGTAAAGAGTTATATTATCATGCTGTTAAAAAATGTTGACGATTTTATTAATTTTAAGGATCAAAAAATGACTTTGAATAAGTTGCACTTTTTTGGGTATGTTTTTTTCAAATTACTATTTCAATTTTTATTTTATGAAAATGACTTTTAAAGAAAGAAAACTAAACATTTACGGGTCTATTTTGCTTCTAAGGCGAAAATGCTATAATATTCGTGTTTAGCTACCCCAGATTAAGTACAAAAAAATAATAAAAATTGAAATAGTTATTTGAAAAAAACATACCCAAAAAAAGTGCAACTTTTTCAGTCATTTTTTGATCCTTAAAATTAATAAAATCGTCAACATTTTTTAACAGCATGATAATATAACTCTTTACGAAGAAAATAAACCGAAAATCGTTACTGTAGGGCTATCCGCTGAGAAGATCTAGCCAATTTTCGAGAGCGCCTTTTTTTCAAAAAATCGATATATCTCGAAAAATAATTAATATTTTTAAATTTTTCAAAAATGTACTTTTTTGGCTTGCCGCGGGCTATGCTTGCAGTAAATAGCAAATATGGGCACGTAAATGTAAACGAGTTATAGAAGAAGAGAAAAGAGAAGATTTTTAACGGTTTTTTCGATATATCTCGAAAAGTAACAAAGCAATCGATACTTTCAAAAAATCAGTCGATAGATCTTTTTAAAACCTACAACTTTCTCATTTAAAATTTTTCAATCCGTGCTATATTTTTTTAGTTATTTTAGAAAAACCGTTTTTTTCAACTTTGCGATTTTTTTTAACCATGTTCGCCATATTGGATCGAGTTTAAAGAACAAGAAACTCAATTTAAAATTTAATTTTCTATACGGTCATATTTTTTTTGTCCAGGTAATAATTTCTGCAAATTTAACATTAATCTGTGACAGAATGCTTGGACTAATAAGTTTATCTTACTTAATTATACTGGCTTTAAACCTGAAGAAACTATTAATTTAGAAATAAACGAAACCAGTTTAGGGGTTCCGCAAGGATCTATATTGGGCCCAGTTTTATTTTTTTGGTATATATAAATGACATATAATTCTTTATCCGCTCAATTTACTATCATGTTGATGACAAGTCTATAATTTTGTCAGTTAAAAGTGACGAATTGTCGAAACCAATATATAATAAATCAACGAATAACTTGACCTAACCTAACCTATATTAATACAACATTAAGTTGTGTTACCAAAAAGTAATCGTGACAATAGTTGCGTGCCGTAATACCTACTGGTAGCTATACAGATATTTTTGATATATGCAAAATTCTAGATAATACAAGTTAATATTAACTCGCATACATTTTCTCTATTGCATATTTAGACTAGGCGGTATCTGTTTTGGTTTGGGTGAATCGTATATCCACGGAGATTTTTGGCTTTCAAATATCACTAGAAATGAAAATTTTTCTATGCGCATAAAAAAAACGTGGGCTTAACTTTTGGCGGCACAGTATGTTTAAAAAATTAGATAAATGTCATATTTTTCTTCCTATTTAATTATGTATCTTTTCAATACTTGATTTTAGGCGAAAATGGAAGTGGAAAAAAAAGTTTGTAATTGAATTCTACAAAATATGACTAGTTACAAATCGAATTAATCATGATTATTATTGTAGAAATGGAAAAAATCGCCAAAAATTGAGTTAAAAAACATTACTTTGTAGGGAATTTTTTTGGGGTCTTTAAGTTGGATATAGGACCTTCATATTTGGCTCATGAAAAGTTCATGTTAATTAGAATCATCACACCAAATTTCATCAAAATCGGTTCGATAGATTTTGCATAATAATTTTGCAATCCAGATTTTGAAAAAAAAATTGCAATTTTTAAAAATTTTGCACAGCAAAAACTAAAGCCCTTAGATACTTGAAAATTTAATCACATATAGAAGGGCTCTCAAGCTTTCAAACGCTTTTTGAAAAATTAAAATCCGTCAATTAGGAGAGGTCTGGCGCTTGTTTAAACATTGGTCGAATTTTTGTACTATAATTTTGTGTTTTTGTATTATAATGAGTTAATTTCTCATTTGCTTATATTTTAAACAGTAAATAATATTTGAATTATACTTTAATCACAAAAAAAATCATTAAATTAATAATTAATTAATTAATTAATTAATTTATTACTAATTTTCGACATATTTTGAAAATAATTGTTATTTAAACAATTTTAGAATATTTAAATTTTGTTTTTGTAAAAGTTAAGCCCACGATTTTTTTATACGCTTAGAAAAATTTTAATTTGAGTGATATTTTAAAGCCAAAAAGCCAAAAATCTCCGTGGATATACGATTCACCCAAACATGGACTCTTTGAAACAGATACCGTCAGGACTAATTTCCAATATTCTTTACGATAATATCTTTATTTCCTTAAACGTGAAATTCTTTTGATGATATTTCTCCAATTGGTATGAGAAAACTAAAAAAGATGGACAAACCACTCACTTTGTTGGATCAGTTTGAAAATCATATTGTTCTCCTCTTGCGTTTCCATGGAAACCAAGTCCATGCAGTACTCCCTGCAGATATTCCTGCCGTCTAACCAGTCCACCTTCCTTCCTGCAAGTTCAGGTACATGTTCGCTGAAGAAGTAGTTGTGGCCCCTGTAGAAGAACTGTTTCGGCCCTGTAAAAATGTATGCGTTAGGTTTTCCATAAAATTTAACAACAAATCGAACATAGTAATCAGAGATTTTCGAATAGCCCTCGGTACTACCTGAATTATATCCCACAGAACAAGTGTCGGTAATGTCAGTCAATTATAATTAATAAAATAATTATTTTCGGTTGTTTCGAGGATTGTGTAAATTGATATAACGTAATAATAAAACGAGTAAATTTTGGTTTAGTATTAACAAATAACTTTTAATGGCAGGTAATAACATACTTTCGTGGCTTTTATTGATGGATTCTTCAACACATCGACTTTTATCGTAATATTTTTATGTGTACCTATCATTAAATGAATTACTATTTTTTTTATAGCGTATGAATTACATAAATGTAATATATCTTTTGAGAGGTATTATCATTTAGATAATGAAACAGTATATAGCGTTGGGAATTGCTACATCAGTAGGTACTTGATTACAAAGCTTCATATTTTTTCGGCGATGGATTGAGAAAGCTTTTTAATATAAAATATAAAATAAATAGTAAAGTTTTGATTTATGGTCGGTAACGCACCCTTTTTCCACTCCGTTTCGACACCTTTGATTCTCGTTTTCAAGCTCAATGAGAAAGTTACTTGTTGACAAGATTTGAGAATGTTAAATTTCTCGTAGGTTTGTAGTTTTCTGCATTTTTACATAATAAAAGTTTAGCTTCAACATCAACAAAAGTTCTCGTCGATTAAACAATGAACATCAGCGTGACATCAATAACAAGTCAGCACGGCTTTCTTTACATTTGGATTTTAATGATTCAGTTACAAGATGTCAGTGATTTTTAAATTTAATCACAACCCTATGGTGTGAAATTTTCTTACCGGATACCACACGTGTTTAAATTATTCTAGGAAATTTTTCTTGCTATTTTTAGAAAATAAAATATGGTGGATAGTGTAGAAATTTTTTTTAAAAGAGTTTAATATAAACGTTGCACGTGTTTACGAAGAAACGTGTCTATACTAGTACTTTGTAAATAAATATTTGCTCGATGGAAAACAAAAAAATTCACATGAACTTGTATAAATACTTTTACACAAATGTTTACAAACAGTCTTTATACATCTATTTGTTCATTTACGGGCAAAAGTATGTAAATCTAGACTTGACTTTAGAAGTATTTCTCTACTATAGTACGATCGTATTCGATGCAAAGTAATAAATCATTGCCTGTCAAGGGAATCAGTGCAACACATTTTATAGGGGGTTTTGGAAATTGAATAATTTCTTTATGCATTATGGATTAACAGTTATATATTTATGAAGGACAAAATGAAAAACAAAGGCATCTCCTTCGCACATTGGGCGGCAGGACATGCCTACA